TGATGACGAGGTGCAGAGGTGCAGGAGGTGAGCTATTGTTTTGGCGTGTGGGACGTGTTGTGTTGTGGCGTATGCATGCATCAGGCAGTCACTTAAAGAAGTGCTTGCCGTTCCTGTGAATTAACGAGCAGTTGGGAAGAACAGGCCAAGGCGGTGCCATCTGTAAATGTCACAGGCACTGCTTGCTCATTTTACACATCATTAAAGCCAATATTCCTAACCTGTATCAGAGCAATCAGGAGCAGGCCATTACTGCGACAGGGGCCCCGGGGGAACCACGACCAAACTCAGAAAGAAAAGAGCAGTGAGGAAGAGAAAGATAGAGCACACTCTTTATCTCCCTGACACACACACACACACACACTCCTGCACACGTCTACATGCACACGCACAAACAAACAAGCAGCACACCTTCTAAGAATAAACAAACACATGAAATCAGCACCAATACCAGCAGCCTAATAGCTAGTGCATTTAACAGCAGAGCACGATGAAAACAGGGCCAATTATACATGTATCTGTGGGCAGTGTGTATAGAGCCCAAATGAGAATCTTGTTATTCCTTTCCCTCCATACTGTGGCGCTCAGAAAGCTAAGCCATTACAAGAGTGGAGGCTCCAGGGACAGCTTTCGGAAATGAGAGCGAGTCGGGGAGTGACAAAACAAAGTATTGAGATAAACACCCACCATTAGTACAGGCAGTTAAACATCCATTTCCTAATCCTCAGCTGGACTCCAGAGGATATTAACCCTTAGTTTACTAAGGTGCAGGACAATAGGAGACCAGATTACGCCGGACTCTCGATGCAGAATTAGTATCGATCGGTGCGCGTTATTTTTCCTCTGATCCGAACCTGGAGAGCTAATGTGGTGAAAGACAGTCGGAGAGCGAATGGAACGAAAGGCAGGACGGGGGGGGAAAAAAAAGTGTTGTAAAAGCAATTAAAGAAGCTCTCTGCCTTAAAGCCTGTTGTCTCATCAGCTAAGTTTGCGTACACTCCACGCCGTACAATTCAAAATCACTGCAAATTGGTTTTGGTAAGAAAGTCTTTGTTTTTACTTTTCGGATTATAAAACGACTATTCTTCTTGGTCCAGGAGCTCCTATGTACTTTTGCCATCGATCCAAGTCAATGCACGTTATTTTGTGCTCCTCGTCCCCATCGAGCAGTAAATGATCTTCAACTTATTTTGTATTCAGAGCTGAAACATGCCGGAGCACTATTAAAGCCCCTCTTGATTATTTTCTGCCTTAGTCATGCTCACATCTTCAGGAGTGAAATGATTCGCTGCCGTCTGTCGGAGCAGAGTGACATTTAATATCCAACCTGGATGTGCACCTCTTATTAGAAGCATGTATAAACATCAACAGTCGGCTCCTGTTGATCAAATTGGTCCAGACTTCCACTTCATGAGGGCAGATCGCCCTCCTGCTTCACTTCTGAGAGTCCACTCTCTCCAAACATTACAGTCCTTCCCCCCATCCTCCTGTAATTGCCGACAAAATTAGGTGGAGTGCTTTCAATCACTTTAAATTCAATCAATCCAAATGCAAAATGAAACTACTTGATTATTTAAACTGATTATTCCTTTTTAATTCAAAAATCTAATTTGGGAAATAAAGTGATGCCGAACTCTGTCACAAACAAACGCTCTGCCGTCCGTATGGGCTCGTTATGGAGCGCATCTCTTAAAATGCTTCTTTTAGTCTCATTGCATTAACCAAAAAAAAAAAAAAAGGACTGGAGGCCTTATCCTTGTAATTATGACTTCATCTCTCATAACTGTGACTTACTGTCTAATGATTATTAGGTCCCACACTTGGACTTAAGAGAAAAGGTTAAGGTGGTCATCCATCGCTGAGGAGACGATGCTGCCTGATTTAAACGCCTCCTCTGGTTGAGACGGCGCTTTAATAATTCCCCAAGGACTCAGTGGGAGCTGCGACTCCACGTCCATTTTTTTCTCGTCTGTATTTGTTTACATTTTAGCAAATTAAGTCTCCAAAATATGGTATTTAAATGATTCATCTGATACAGAAGAAAAAACCTCATGATGCTCAGACAAGTTGCAAAGCGTCTCTTACTCTGATTTCTGAGCGGGTTTACGGATGTTTATTTGCAACAGACATCAGAGACAGTAACAGCACACTGAGTCTAAAAATATGTTCATTATGCACGTCTGCTCAGATGAGTTATGACTCTGATTCTGACTATAACTAACTTAATGTTGTTTGTAGGACACCTACATGCTCTTGATGTGTCTTTGCTGCACATCGCTTCCTCTGCAGCTCCCGTACTGTCTGTAAACCTCTGAAATTAAGCCCAGTTCAGCTCAGTTTTACCCTCACAGCTAAAGCAAACGTCGCCCAACATTTGGCGATGTTGCAGTGCCAACAGCCTACTGAGCAATACCTCATAATCAGGAGGTTTTCTGCTGATTGTGTGATCAGGATCTTTTAATGAGGAGATCTTTTCCCACGTTTCTTGTATGAGGCAGTGAATTTTACTCACGAGATGCAGAAATCACACCTCTCTATATTTTTTGCATCACTGTAATTTATTCTAATGTGTGCGAGAAGGTTTGAGCTGCTTGTTTTTGTCGAATGACAATCTGAGCACTTCCTGTACATTAGAAGTGTAAAAGTCAACGCTTGTTTTCTCTTTAATTTCTGTGACCTTAGCGAGAATAAATATCTTCCTCCACAAAACTGGAAGCATCAGCAAGGAGCTCCTCGTCCCAATTTCTCTCCATTCCTGCACCTCCCTCTCTGCTCACATTGGACAAGCCGAACCCCCCAAAACAATGAGCATTTGATACACTTTCTTTAAAAGAGAAATACATTAATGATGCTCCCTGACAGTCTGCATTAATCAGAGGGGGCTCCCCCTGAACACAACTCTTTATCGGCCATCGATTTTCCAGTGGGTTTATGGCGAGCGACACACCGAGAGAGCTCGTCGCCGGGCGGCTGCTGGGAAACACATTACGGGGCTGTCAGTTGTCTCGCCATGCATCCTGCATCATTCTTTAAGCACATGAGAAGTTCATTACACCACACAGCTCTGACAGTGCATAGGATATTAGGGACTGTGTCCCTTGTGCATATCCTCGGTGAAAGTGTAGCACAGCAGACATAACAGAGGATTTAGACTTTATTCCAATACGGCTTTAAATCGATTTGAGGTAAAACGATCTTATACGAGTTTGAAATTAGAGCATCTTAAACCTGATTTTAAATGGGATGAGTCTGAGCCCGTTTGCTGCCTGTCATTTAACCTTTCACAATCATAATAATGAACCTGAGCTTGTAAAGCACGTCTAGATTTTCCTCCACTTCATGGAGGAGCCTTGCTAAGTGCTGTGGTGCCACATTTGGAAATGATGTTGCAGCAACAGTTTCTCCGGGCTCCCTGCTACATCCTACACGTCCCATGTTCACCAAAATGATTTCTCACCTTAAGACGCTCACGCTGTTTTGATTTATGATGCTTCACAACTACTAAAATTCAATTTCAGCCTGTATTGCATGCCTCTGATTGCCCCGTAAATTAGATAAACTGATAGCAATTTATTCAAGGATCCCACCTCTCCTCTCCTTCCCTTTCCTCTCTCTCCTCCTGTTCTTTTAACAGGAGACACAACTCACATCCCAGACTTGGGTGAATCCAATATTTAAGCGATACGTCTGTATTCCAGGGCATTCAGCAGAACAGACAAGCTGATGCTAATAGAAAACCTCGCAGAGAACAATGAGAGGGATAGAAAACAATGTGCATGTTTGATGATGTGAGAAACATTCAGAATCTGCCTCCTTCAGTCTGATTACTCTTACACTTGCTGCTCTGGAAGTCCAGGAGTGAACCTATGTGGGATGCTTTAGGTGAGATTTGAAGATTTATAAGGCCCGCCATCACTCAGCAAAGACAGGACATTAAGAGCTAAGTAATGTCAAATAAATAAGATGCGGGTCGCTTGTGAACACACATAGCAACTTATACTACATCATCAGACGATAAATAATGTGCCTAATCCAGAATATGATCGGATGTGACGTTTTTAGGATTACGATGCCGATGTCACCGCTACTCCAGCGATAAAAAGAGCTCCACTTATCTCCACTTATCTTGGCGATGCTGATGATGTTCCCTCCACACAACAATGTGGTCAACAGACCCATTCAGACTTTAAAGAGAAGCTGTCAGAGACCGTGATAAAAAAGTATAATGATTATAAATGCTAAGCCCCATTTAGGAGGCGTCAATGCCATTGTTGTTGTTATCCAGCGTATCAATCTTGTTGATTGATCATCCCGCTCCGGTGACATCAGTTTTATGGCCTCTGAAACGCGTCTCAGTGTTTTCACAATGCCATCCAATTAGGGCACTCCATTCATCATTGGGCTGAAGAATCATTATTAATTGGGTGGAGAGCCGACCGCCACTCCCCTGCTGAGAGGGGCCACATTCACTATTCATACAACAGTAGAATAAATGGGGGGCCGTGGGGGTGATGGGTGCAGAGGGGCCACAAGACGACACACCTTTACGTACATCACGGGCACACTGAGTCAGAGTATAGACGATTACACGTTCCTCTTTTCACAGCGACTGCAGGAATCCTGTCAGTGTGTCGAGGTGTGAGCTCAGTGTGGACACTTTACGTCTCCTAAATTTAAAAAAAACAACTTCTGACAAACACGGTGTTAGATTTAGGGCCTTGAACGTAACGCTGAAGTTTGGCCTAAAGCTAATTGTGTTCTGATGCTAGGGGGCAATTTTACACGATGGAGAAGTAGTCAAGAAACATATGAAGTCAGTGTGCAAACGGTTCTTTTTTGGACTTGTGCAGGAGAGAAATCTGGGTAATCTCCAAAACAGGTAAATGTTTAGTCCTGTGCAGGATTCTTCTTTGCGTCTTGTGACCAAAACTTTGTAATAAATCAGTGCAGAGGACATACGTGTGCGCGGGAAGCAACATTTCAATGCAACTCTTTGGTACCTTCGTTGCCTGCGGATAAGCCGTCTGGCTTGGTGATGCCCGTGCTCTTTTTCCGTCTGTGCTTCTTGCGGTTGGCGTGCGGCGACGGAGGCGGCTCGAGCTTTGGACTTGTCGCACTGCCCATACTGGCGTTTGCGGGATCGCTCATCCCGTTGGCTGAAAAAACAAAAAGAACAGAAAGACAAAACAATCGTTATTTTATTTTTTTAAAGTTAAATGAAGATCTTATCCCTGTTTCAGTTTCACTAGACGTGCAGGTAAATTTAATTTTCGTTCATGCAGTGAAAACAAACACCAGAATCTCTCTTCATGACTTTGACTAGTTTTTAACTTTTTTGAATGCACCTGCACCGCTGACAGGGAATTACTAGAAAAGTACAAATTAAGATTAAATGTGCTGCGAATTAGCACATGTGCTAAAACACTCAAACAATGCATCTGGTTTGTCCAACGTAATTGTGATGTCCACATCAAATAAACAATAAATAGATAGATAATAAATAAATACATGTAGACCAAATGTTTTCTACTCAGGGCTGCCAATAAAAATGTTGTTGATTTATTAGAGAAGCAAAAAACACTCAAAATTTCTCTTGGATGTAATTTGCAGTTGGAAAAAATTCCATCTTGATTCGACTTTTTGCAGAAAGATTATAAACAATAATAAAAACCAATGTGTTTTGTTTTACGTTTTAACAATAAAAGGGGGAAATTAGGGGTTATTTATGTCATATTTAATTGTATGATGGTGCTTAATGTGTAGATGTTGAATCACAAAAAAGCAGCTTAAGAATTGAAAACGACTTCATGAAACTCCTAGAATTTGTCGCCGACTTATCGCATTAATTGCTCACAATCCAAATTCCATCCCATGTGTTAGAGGAGCAGAAATACTTTGAACTACTCCTTTAAAGAGCTGCTGCCAGCTTCACTTCAGCATATGTACCTTTGAAAGTGAGGAAAAGTGTTCGAAATGACACCGAGGACTAATAATGAATGACATTATTGAAAGCTTTATGGTGAGTAAAGGCAGACTTCCTGATGATGTGTCTGCAGCAGGAAGAGTTGAAAATGGCTCCGAGTGCTCCAGGATCGACTGTGTAAGTGCAGCTGTGGATGGTGTGAACGACAGGTATGAGGCTACCAGTGAACAAATGGTTACCTGAGCTAGCCCGCGGCCAAGCTCTCTATATGACTGTCTGAGAGTGACAGGGGGCTAAGAGCCGGCTTTGTTTCTTGTAAGTGATTTTATAAATGTGATATTAACCTGTGCTACCGTTGGGCAAAGGCATAGGAGGGATGGGACGATAGGAGGGGGTTGTCAGCTTGCCATCCTTCTGATTTCCTGACATTTGACATCACTTTCCCTTCTTTCCCCCTCCGGATGCCATTATGAATCTGGGAGTGGGGGCCAGGGGCCTGGGGGAAGCAGGGAGGGAGGGCCAGTAGATGGGCCCCATATTGCTCTCTTCTTACCACCCTGTGTGGTGCTGGCAGCCTCCTCCATTGTCTCCCATCAAAAGCTCATTGTAGTGTGGCAAACTCCATTCATTTCCCCGTGCACCGTCCCAGCCCCAGGGGTGGAGTGCAGGAGGACAAGGGGCTCGGGGATTATTGCTGTTGTCGTTGCCAGTTGCACATGCTATAATGTGCGGCACTGTGCCATTAGCCAGTGTACAACATTAGGCCTAATTCGGTCATTACCTTTAGGGAGATGGGGCTGTCTTGGAGGAGTAAGATGGGCTCAGCAGGGGACTGAAGATGCTTACATGGGGGGGAGAGTTGCAGCTCGGAGGGCCGGGGGATACGCTGTTTGAGTTTGGGCAAAATGCAGCACCTGAGACACACATTGCTCCGTCCGACTTAAAAATTAACCTTGATGAGCTCAAATGTACACAAACAAGAACGTCATTACTAAAAAAAAAAAACAAAAAAAAAACTCATTAAAACGAGCTGTTTGAAAAGGAGCATCTTTAACGGTGCTATTAATATTTCAGCATAAATAGTCGTGTGTGCAACTTGATAAATAACAGTATTGATTATGTGCCGTGGCATTAATAAACATAACATTGGCGCTCGAGCACATATATTAAGCTCTCTGGTGTTTTGAATGGCAGCACGCAGCCACACATGTAGCAGCTCCTAGTCGAGGCGTCTGTTTCAATTTCCCTGCTCTCTTACAACAGCCCCCCTGAGACGAGTCATTAGCTGGCTCAGACAGCTGGGGGCACAGGGGTCCTCCGTGTGCCCCCCTCCTCCACCCTCTGCTTCCTCCTCCCTCTCCATCCCAGCGTCTGTCCCGCCAGCACAGCTCCGTATGGCGGGTGGAAGGCTCGAGCCTCAACCTGCCTCCGACGTGACAGCCAGCATTTGTTTAATGTCGCTTGAGGTTAAAGGGGAGGGCTGCCCCTCGGGGGCCCCGACTGTGTCATAAACACCTCTAATTATCAATTTCTGCCCCTAATGTTGTGGAAAATGACCCCGGTCCCGCTACATTCTGCACCTGAAACATCTACGGGGTGATGCGCCTCCCTTTGTTTGCACCCATCAGGCTTTAAGGAAGTCTCTAATATAAAAGGTATAGCGGGAGGATAAAAGCACAACACACATCGCTGAGCAACAATATCGAAGCACCCGAGACCTAATGGTTTTACATAAAGTCCCCGAGTGGTTCTCAGCTCGAAACTATGCACGGCTAGTAAATTAAATTTCTTAAGCTGAGGATTATGAAGTTGAAACTAGACTGATTCTGAGAGCAGAGAATTCACTGTGGCATTATTAGCTAGCTGCTAGAGTGTATGAGGGCCATCAGGACCAAGCTGGGTAATGAAGCTCACTGGGGACCGGGAGTCTCTTTACCACTCAGCCAAGATCACCTGGGCAGCAGAATAGGTATCCGCCTAACCTGTGATTACAGCGTATTACACTCCCACCACGGAGATGACAGTTTAAACATGCTTCAGGAGGAAGGCTGTGGGTGAGACAAAGGGGGCGCCGCTAGCAGCTCCCCTCGCCACCGCCACACTGAGAATGAATGGGAATGAAAAAGGGTGAGGGAGCGAGCGGCAGGGGGGGAGGGTGAAGAGGACAGGGGGAGTCATTTCATTGTTATTCAAGAGGCTCTGGGTAAGGAGCACTATGATTCCGCCAGGCCCCTTGACATGGCAGCCCTGCCTGTCCTCAATCAAAGCCAACGGCTGCAATTAATGGCAAAAATTAGAAACAATCACCGCCTCCCCCTTATTATCCTCAATTAGAGCGTACTAATCAAGGCCTGATCGCGCTCTGCTGCTCTCTCCAAACTAAATGTCAAACTTCATTACGGCCTGGCGTAGAAATCAAACGCCCCACATGCTATCACCCTCGCATCGGGAGGCCAAGGTATAAAACACAGTGCCACAGGAAAAGGCTATCTGTGCATTAAGTACCTGTGTGCTTATGTGCAAAATCAGGGGAGAAAAAGCACTTACACATAAATAAATTACCCCAGCATAGAGCGCTAAGAGGCATTTCTTTAATGTAAAACTAGGGACTGATGCAAACTTTTCATTGTCATTTAAATATAATTTTATAATGTGTGACAATTAGCACAGCGCGGTCACATTATAATAGTGTTTAATATTAAAAATCACGCTGTTAAAAAGTGAAAAAGCAAAATGTATGCACTTCCAAAAGGGCTGCAAGCTATACATGTTAGCTATTAATGATTAATCTGCTGATTATTTTCTTGTTACATCAATTAACTGTCAAAAAAAAACAGTTGCTTGTATTGTCGGAACAAACAAATCTAAAGATATTCAACACATTTTTCATATATGACAGAGAAAAAGCAGAAAAACTTATAATTTGAGAAGCTTAAATGAGAAAATAATTGCTTAGAAATTTTACATTTTTGATTGATATCTAAATTATTTCTGTGATGGACACCGCTATGTCTTGTCACTTCCTGGATTAAGACACTATGGCATATATTATATTTTTTAGGGCATTAACGCTGTGAGCATAGACATCTCAAGCATGTCGGATTAATTATCGAACACCTCCCGGTGAACTCTGATCTGCAGTAATCTTCCGACTTTGGCATCGTGACCACGACTTGGGTGATTGTCATCAGCGAGCCTATCACGTTGCTCAGATGACTGTTGGAGCCTCTTGCTTTTAATTCAGGCTCAAAGATTGAGGTGCGCGACGGAGAGAGCAGGATCTAAACAAGCATCCGGTGCATTAAGAATGGGTGTCTTTATGAATGCAAGCAATAGAAAAATTGGGCCGGGATTTAATCAAAAGTCTGCGCTCAATATTCAAGAGATGTTACTACCTCTGCTTCTGCCTTTGCTCAATGGGTTTACAAATGAGGACATTCTTTAAATAATATGGAAATGGTTACCTGGCTAAGACGCATTCATTCTCCAGTGAATCATCAATCTGCTGTTTTTGCATCTCAGAATCACTTTTTATGTTAACCTGCAACCTTCACCAAGGATAATGGAGTGATTGGGCTTGGTTCAAGTCAATTCGAATGGCAAAACATGAGCACCCTTCACCGTGGAACTCCCTCTATTGATTATTGAAGACGAACGACAAGAGCGCCGCGTTTCAATCAAGTTTATGTTTTCTGATAGTCCAGTCACACTTTACGCCGCGGACGCATCCCGCCGCTTTCGTTCCGATTCGCCAAAAAAAAAATTTGCAAAAGCGAGAAGTTTTTGGAGCTGCCTCCTCGGCGAGCGTTTAACCGTCTGCACACTGATTACAGCGACACTTCTCTTCTCAGGAACCTAATCTATCATTCCAACACAACGTTTTCTACTATTATTTTCAGCTCATTTGCCTCATTCGAGCTCATTTGTGGTTACCTTAAAAGTGGCATGAAAATAATTGAAGAAAATAGAATAATGGAGCAAATTGTGGATCTGATTTAGTTGAAGACTGGATGCTGGTTAATGAGCTATGTTAATATGGAAGGGCTTTTCAGTTTACCAAACATGGAAATAGGAAATTGTAGCCTCTATATTTCCGCACAGTGCAATGTTTAGGAAGTCCTATTTGTCCTTTTTTTTTTTTTGCACACACACACATTATAATACAGACGCAAACACGCTCTGTGGAAAAAGCTCACATGCAAACAGCCACACAAAAATATTCAGCGAGCACACAAACACACACACACACACACACAGAGTCCCGCTCATTTATTTGAGGACCCCACGAATCTAAGTAATTCTGCTTTGGGCATGCTGCTGATGGGAGACGGGGGTAGGGGGTGATGGAAGTGCCTGCGTCCAGGCAGAATTGATCGTTTGGCAGCTCCAAATGAGAGACAGGCTTGTCTGCGGAACCACGAGGGCCGTGCAGTTGGACTCCAGCAGCGCTCGTAAAGTGCGCTCTTTAAACTGCCGGGGCCCCTGGGAGCCCATGGGGAGGGGGGGAGCCGCCGCCGTGCTAATGAGAACTACCAGAGTGCAAACATGCATGGAAATGACTGTTATTCTGTTGATGTGCATTTAAGTGCTTTTTTACTGCCAACCACAAAGAGAGGGAAATAACTGGTGATGAATGGTACCCCCGAAAAGCATTCATTTTCCTCTTCGGAAGAAAAGAGAGGAAAACAGAGGAGGTGGCGGTGGAAGGAGGAGGAGGAGGAGGAGGGGGGGCAGAGAGTAAGATGGAAGGTAAAGACAGGATGGTTGAGGAGGAGGTGGTGGGGGGGAGGCAGGCATAGTGAATATATTATCTTACTTCACTCAAGTACAGTGACAAGGCGCAATGTGACAAGGAGGCAGTAAGTGGAGATGCATCGATGGCGGAAAGTTAACCTTCACTGTTCCTCTCCTCTGAACACGCCGCCGCCGCCGCCGCTGCTCTTTGATGGCGGCGGCGGCGGCACAAAAAGGTCACAGCGATCACAGCTCTGATCACCTAATTATGAAAATGAGGCTTGTTTCACCTGTCTAAGAAACTCGAGAAAATGGCAGCTCCATCACACCTCCGGATCGAGTTGTGTTTTGAATTCACTTTTCTTGTTTTTTTTTTTTTTTTTTGTGCGGCGAGTGCTTACGGGCTCCGCTGCTTGTACTGGTGTTGATGGCTTCGTTCCACTGGTCGGCGCTGGACACGGAGAAGGAGCGCTGGTGCATGCCGTCTTTGCTGCCGCCGAACACCGAGCCGCCCGTCTGGAGGGACGAGCTGCTGTTGGAGTGAGGGGCGCCTGGAGAAAGAAAAGAAGAAAAATGATTTTATGTGTTCTGCATATGTGGAATGATTGTTTTCTTCAAATAAAAATACAGGTGATAAATGATGTAATTGAGTTTTTAGGTAGTTTCTGCTGCCACCTTCCTCTGTGCGCTCACCAACCCCCTTCACACAGACACACAAAACTCCTCTCCCTCCGCCTCTGCCTCTAATTAGCCCTTAATTAACAAGATACACTCTGAACGCTAATTATCTCGCCTCATCCCTCTGACTGCCACATCGATCTCCACTGGCGTCAGCAGGCGTTCTCTCCCTAACTTCCAATCAGGCGAGCCGCGGACGCCTGGCTCTCTTTACTAATTCATGGGCTAGGCTGCGCCATGTGGGGTCCTTCCCTCCTGTTTCGCGAGCAGTTTGCCACGACGCATCCTAACTACTCCGAAGAACTCGTCGATATGCTTCCAGTCACGTGAGCGGAACCGGATTAAAGCCGGAAAGCGCGGCGGTATTTTGTCATGTAGTGCAATAATTTATTACAAATTGGTGCCAAAAAAAATTTAAGAAGTGAAGGTTTTTATAATAATTGTCAAGGTTGCATCAAACTAATCAGGGAATATTTCACTTGACAGAAAAAAGGTCAGCTATAAATACAATTATTCACTAATTCAGAGCATATTTGCAATTAAAAAAAGGCTGCACAGTGTAAACATAATTCATGGAGATGTGACAACTAAAAGAGTTTTTTTTTTCTGATTTTCTCGTCTTACAGGTATCACACGTCAAGGCCTTTTATTCAATAATTACACCAGAATATCAGTTTCTGATTGAGGTGACAATAACAGAAAATATAGTGTGTGGCTCGTGTGTAAAGTAAACTAAGCGGCACGGGTGCTTGTTAGGATAATATGTCCTACTCATTATCTAGAGTAATAAGTGTATCAAATTCACATAATCATGTCTAATTAGTATCAGTAATTATCTTGTTGGGCCCAGGAATATTAATCTTCAGGTCCCAGAGGGGAGGGAGCAGAATCGCAGCGAGAATGGGAGAGAGAGCGAGGGAATCATGCTGAGGAGCACCGACTAAATTAGCATGCTGAAATCAGAGCAGAGGAGGAGGAGGAGGAGGGAGGGAGGGAGGAAGGAGGAGGAGGAGGGAGAGCAGAGGAGAAGAAAATGTGAAACTTTGTTTTTGAAAAAGTGGCGGATGAACGGCACCTAAAATAAGCTAACGACTCGGAGGGAGGAAAAAAAAAAAGGGGATGCGATCGGTTTGATTGCTGCTAAATTTAGAAAGTGTTTGTTAACGTGACGCTTTGTTTCCGGTCATGACCTGATGTCACACCGATAAACCGTCTCCAACAGAAATCCCTCAAACTAGTAAAGGTTTTAAATCAGAGAGTGAAGTTTGACTCTTTGACACCTTATAAAAGAAAAGAGAGAGAAAAAAAAGAACCCCGTTAGATAACTACAAGGCAACTTCGATTGATATTTAAAATTCAACAATCATGTCTAATTGTCAAATTGGATGCTAATGATTAATGAATTATACATGGCTGTATCCATTAGTCCCCAGAGACCACTCCTGCATAAAGGGGAGGATAATGTAATTACAGTGGAGAAATAATCAGCTTGTGGCATTAAAAAGAGCAACTGTACTCACAGCTCCAGCCAGGCCCGACCCGACCCGACTGCAGCACATTCTACAGCCGCGGACCGACAACATTAAGGCTGCACACCGAGGTCCAAAGCAGCATTAATACCGAACCGACAGTGATGCCGCGATGTCAAACACAGATACATTTGCAGAAAATATAAAAACAGGTTTTTATTTTGTCAATTACATTACGTTTGGTGAGGAACTTTAATCTGAGGCCCCATTCTGCTCAGTCTATTGAAGAGAAAATGAAAAACCCAGCAGTGCTCCAGACATTTATAAGGAAATTACATCAAATCTAGACACTGGTGGAAAGTAACTAAAATCATACCCACATTTACTTTAATCCACTACTTCTACCACCACACTTTTAACTCATCTGTATTTATCTGACAGCTGCAGTTAATTTGCAAATTAAGATAATAGCGTTTCTTTTTTTTTTTTTAAACAGACCCGACAGGATAAAGTCATAAAACATTGCTCAATCCAACATTAAAAAATCTTATTACACTTTTATGCACCGGTAATAATTACAGTCTAATTATATTGGAATTAATAACGCTGACTGCAATCATTCTGCTGCGTGAGTATTTTTTATTTTTTGGTGATAGTACTTCTATGAGAGTATTTCTACCACTTGTACTTGACTTGAAAAACAACATCAGCACCGATATGTTGTTTCGTTCCGTGTAAAATTAAGCAACTCGTAAAAAAAGTACGAAAACCCCATCGCGGGCCGTATTGTCATGTGTATAAAGAGATAACAAAAGCCATATAGTGTGTACTGCAGGCTATCCGGGGCTGGGGTGTTAAGTAGAGGCGATGGATTAGCGGGGAGCAGCTCTGCCTTTGCTTCTCATTTCTCTTTAGGCCGGGCCGTCAGTGGGCTGATGAGCCGTGACGAGGCCTGACCCCTCCGTGGAGTTGTTGCCATTATGTACAAGTAGTGAGATAATGAAGCATTCATGCTAATGTGGGCCGGGCAACACATCATCTGCGGCTGTGTAATCCACCACCATCATCACGACCAACGCCCAGATGTCCCCCCTCCACCTCTGATGCTGCTGCTGCTGGTCCCATTACAAGTCGCTCAAACACACATGTGCATTTAATAACGTCTTTTTTACAATCTGTAGGCGACAGACTAACATCAGGACTTCAACTCTCGTGTGTGGCCTTTTTTTTCTATTCGGAAATTTACAGTTTTATCTTAATTTTTTTGATTTACGACGCACACATCTTCAGAAATATTTCTACAGATGCGAGTACAGAAACGGCAGCATTAGCTCCTAACTAGTGGTATGTTTGCTGGGCGTCCTCCTGCACTGACATGAAGAAACAATGCTCACTGTAGTTTAATTATTGTTCATATTTTATGCCTTGCTGTCAAGAATTCCCTCGTAGTAGGCGTCTACACCAAATTCTAAACTACAGATCTATTGTGAATGTCTAAGTAGCCGATGTCACATTAATAAATGTAAATACAAAAATACACATGGACAGTTTCCAGGTCCCTTAAACCAACATTTCTCCTTGGTTTGACCCACACTGGTAGATCTTCCGGTGAAATTTAACCCGAAAAAGCCTCAGTGTACAAAAATGTGTAGCATCTGTACAGAAGTATTTTTCATTTTTGAGTATTTTGGGTCACTTTAGGAGAAGTCATCACATTTCAAGCTAAAAGAATGACGTTTAGGGTAATTTTTTACAGATGTCAAATGTCGAAACGGGTCGAATGTGACCCCGAAATAGCCTCAGTGTACGAACGTATTTTTAATTTTTGTGTATTTTGGGTCATTTTAGGAGAAGTCATTACATTTCAGACTAAAAGAATGATGTCTGGGGTAATATTGTACGGATGTCAAATGTCAAAACGGGTCAAATGTGACCCTGAAATAGCCTCAGTGTACAAAAGTATTTTTCATTTTTGTGTATTTTGGGTCACTTTAGGAGAAGTCATCACATTTCAGGCTAAACAAATGGCATTTAGGGTGTTTTTTACTGCTGTCAAATGTCAAAATGGGTCTAATTTGACCCTGAAACAGTCTGTAATAGTGGAAAATAACAGTGTTAAATCAGTTCAGCTAAACTACTCGGGTACTGCTGATAAAGAAGCCCTTCATCTCATCCATCGGTGTTGAGGGAGCCAGACTGAAGAGGCTGGAAATCACCGCTTTATAGTACAGACAACAGGCCCGGTTTGGCCAGTGTTGAAGGAAGGTGTGGCGCTGGCACCGGCAGAACCTGCTGGTCAGCGAGCACGAGGCTGCGAGCTGGAGGCAAATGGTGCTGCAGAGTCAGGAGGGATGGAGCTGAACGCTTCCTCCCCGTGGAGGCTGAGCAGACAGAGCATCTCTCTCCCACAGGATTGATTAAAAGTGACTGGGCCCATTAATACTTTGATGCCATGTATGTGTCGCCGGTGACACGGCAGGACGCGTGCTAACGGGGAGGATCATATTTAAAATGGTTCCGCTCAGCACCCAGCAAAGGAATTAAACCTGGCCGCTCGGCAAACGGGCGGGCGCATGCGTTCTCACATTTACTCTCTGTCTTCTCAACCTCTCCTCTTCATCTTCCCGTCTCCCCCTCCGCATCCACCCGCCCCTCCTTCCCTCCGTCGCTATCCCTCTTCTCCCAGTGATTATAAAGGTCTTTAGATCTAAGGAATGAATGAATTACCAAAGGCAAAGACAAGGCTTGTGATTTGGACGCCGTGAATGAAAAATTACCCCTTTGTTCCCTTCATCAATTGCATGTCTAATGAAATCAAAATCCCGATCGCATAATCAGAAGAGGGTCCTCCACCCGGAGAGAGACCTGATGTGATTTGTAACCTTTCTTTTCCTAAGTGGAGATTAAGGCAAATCTCCCTCGCATTGTTCCCTGATGCAGAAACGGATGGCGACCGAAAATCTTGGGAATTTGTCATTGAGGAGTCTTCTCCGCGACATCAGGAGAAAACAACATTGTTATGTGAAGAGGAGAGGAAAAGAAGAAAAAAAAAGTGAGAAAACAAAATCCGGTGGATGCTGTTTAAAAGGTTCTGTGGCCTGTTTTTCTGGGCCTTTGTCTGCCCTGATGACTCCCCTCAACCCAGCAATCAAGGTGAACAGTCTGTGGGATGAAACAACCTCCATCTAGTGTCCTGTGCTCCGTAAACTCCCACATCTTTCTGCTTTTGACTGATTAACCCGTTCACACACCTTGGCCACGTGCACCGCTAACCTGCCAGGACGGCCCTAATGGTCCCCGCTGACCCGTCTTTGGCACCGAAACCTCCCCTCAGCCGGTTAGCTTTAGCCTGACGGATGGAAACGCTGTGCCCATTTCACAGCTGATGAAGGACCCCGCCTCCCTCCGGGGATCGCTCTGCTAATTAGTATTAATTACTCTTAATCCTAACCCCTAAATCCAATCACTGGCTTCCCCTCTATGCGCCTGCCAGACTCCCGGCAGCCTCCGGTGGTGCAGCTCGCTGAGAGAGGAGCTCTATTTTTAAACGTGAAGGTGGAGAAAACCCTGGCACGGTGGTTTTAGCTGCCGTGACCCCGCTTACCGCCGAGGATGGGAAATAAGTGGGTCAGTGTCACAGTCACTTAATGGACCAGGATAAACAAACCGTCTATTTCTGTAGCGTCGCTCCATAAACACAGGCATGATGTTTAAACACAATTTTTTTTAATTCCCCGTTTAGCAATCTGGAGAATTAATAGATTTGTCATAGATGCTCATTAAGTCATCATTGTGTATAGCGTGAGGCGGCTAATTTGCATGAATGAAACATACAGAAAGTAGATAATTAACCTGTTGGGAGACATTTTTATGATTAATCACAAACAGAGGACACTATAAAATTAGTACAGTAATAAAAAGCTCATTTACTGATTTCTTTTAGGTTTTATATTTACCTACCATGTTTGAAGTTTACCAGCGTACGTGAGAATTATCATTATGTGATACGAGAAATTAGTTTAATATGATTTACTCTTGAGAATATTTTCTCGATTAACCGATTAATGGTTTGTTTTGGTAACGCCTTCTTAAAGCCTTAAGCTCTGTCTTCAGATTGCTTGTTCTTGGAAAGCAGCCGTCGAAAACTCTAAAATATTCACTTTATTGTGATATTAAAGAGGAATATCTGCAAGATTTTTAAGCTTGAAGCATCAAATGTTAAATGATTGATTGATAATCGAAACAGTGGAGGATTTTCTGTCACCTTTCTCACCCAGAAAATAACGCATCTTAAATATAAAAGTTGTAGAAGCGGCTCGGTTTCATTCATGTGGCCTTTAGACTTAAGGGATTCGAACCTGTGTTTCCGATGCCCAGCTGCAAGGTGCTGCGGTCCTTGGTCAGCCCGTTGGTTTTGGGGCTGGCCGTGGGGGCGACGGTGGCCACGGCTCGGGGCGGTCGCTTCCCGGGAACCTTCACCGTCGTCCTCAGCAGGTCGATCTCTTTGCCATGCACGTTCTGCATGTAGTCCTGCAGAAAGTTGCAAACAACAACAACACGCCAGCGGTGAGCGGTGGTCTGCGCTGGAAGGAGGGTGAATATTTCTAAATGTGTGGCTCAGTTCAGCCACTTGATTACACACAGTGGACCAACAAGAATCCAGGAATTATGGAAGAAAAACAAATTAAAAGACTATTCAATTTCCATCCCCATTAGTCACAACCCATCTTAGACCTTCCACTAAGGGTGTGTGATAGTGGAAAAATGATTGTAAAGCCATTATACATCACCTGTGCCCACGCCGTCTCTCCAAATAGCGAGATGTTAGGCTTAATGAATGCAAACTGTCTCATTCCCTTTCAATTTGGCCATTTGATTTGGTTTAAAGCGACTACCGCCCAAATGTGGGAAGCCAAGGTGAAAATCATTGGGCTCAGCAGAAAAAGACCCAGATAGAGGCGAGCTCGGCCTTTGCCGTCCCCCCACCGGCTCCTCTGCTTTATTACCGTGTCATAAAGCACTCATTTCTTTCCCAAGCCTCCTCGCTAATTACCCAGTGAGCGCTCTCATTTCATTTTATTGCTGGAATTAACAGCCAGATCGAAGCGTGCAAAGCTATTAAGATGTGTGATTAAGCCACATTCAATTAGTTTCTACAAACAATTTAATTGATGTAGCAGATAGAATTAACAGAAGGTGATTGTGTGGATGGCTTGGCTGACTGCGAAATTAAAGGTTCCCCTCTTCCACTCTCAGACTGCCTCCCTCCCTCGCTCCTTTCCTCAATCTCCCTCTTCCCCTTTTTTCCCTTTCTTACTCCTTCTCTGCTCCACTGCTCAAAATGAGCTTGAGCTGTTACCCTGCTAATGTAACTGTCTGCCTTATTTCACCTCCCCGTGTAAGTCAACAGATTCATAGATTCATAGATTGCCCCGATGACCTGTAATAGCTGTAATGATCAAGAGATAGCCTGCTCAGTCAATTACATACATCACCGTGGCCCGGCGCTGCTCGACTAATAACTGCTTGTAAATTAAACCACTAACACACTGTCAGTGCAACAAGGCCACACACAAGGTTCACGTCTAACTATCGGGCTGCTTTTCAAAGTTTGAGCTTGTCTCATTAGACGCCGCAAATGCCTTTGATTTTCACGTGGCCGAATGATCTAGACATCCCCCGAACGCGGGACCGGGAAGAATCGGAGAGTGATGGAGGGAATCGGAGGGCAGAGATGGGCATTTCTGAGCGGAGCGCCGAGGCTCCCGAGCTGTCTGCTGCCAGCCAGCCGAGTGTTTAAGAGGTATTAGCGGCCCAGCGGGATTGTGACAAAGATGGATGTGGGAGGCTGGTCAGGCTCTGCTGCCATGCGGTGAGAACCATTATAAATACAAGCCAGCGTGGAGTCTGGGCGCGGCGGGCACGCAGCAGCACAGCCATGTCTCCATTAGCCAGCACCATGGATGGGCACCACAGGGTGGGCAGAGATGACCACTGGGGTACCCTGTTTTTTAACACTAAGCTTGAAAGTCCCAGGGTTAGCTAATATGGCCATTACATACAGCAATAAGTCTGGCGGGTTGTAATCTCTGCCGCTAAATGTAATCGCATCAAGAGAATCGTGTTGGAAAAAAAAAAAAAGTCCTACGTTAAAACCTCCACCCTCGAGTACAAACAGTGGTGGAACAAACCCATAAAGCCAATTGGAACAGGAAGGGAAAAAGAGAGGGGGGGAGGTTTGAGACTTACATGTAAACTGGGGTGGTAAGTGAGGACGCCATTATCACACAGTGTGACATATTTCTTTTTCCACTCCTTGTTGAGGGATTTGCCACTTCGCTTCAGAAGGATTCCCTGTAAGAGACAAGGCATCACGGTGAGCATGTGCTCTTCTGGAAGCAGCATGGTCGATGATATGAGCCATTATGGATGTTAAATACCATAAAAAACAGTGTTATTATTGTTATTGCACATTTTTATGGTGGAATTTTCTTTGCAGTACACCATAAAGCAAACAAACATCGTGTTAAGTGAAAATTATGAAACAGTACGGAAGCAATTACACAGAACAATATGAAAACACGAGAGTAATTGCAATTTATCTCTTAATTGTTCCTCTTCTGGTGTAATTTGATGGCTGACAGGTTTAATGATTTGTTGGTTTTCTCCTATTGTAACCGTTCTGAACCTCCAAAGTTGGCCAAGTTTCTCTGGCAAAGGGGCCCATTGAGAAAGAGAGACAATCCGATTTGCCAGACCTCCTCCCCGCATTCATACACATAACACGCTGAACTCTGGAAGACCCCTCAATCCTGGGATTAGAGAGTGTGATCTCCCCTCTTCAAAGCCCGCTCGGCTTTTATTCTCTTCTACTTTATCTTCTGGGGCCTTTTAGGGCCTCGGATGCTTTCCTTATCTGCTGAGTAAATCCACCGGTAAACAATGCAGTTCCTCTGCTGGAGGTGACCAAACGCTGCTGAGTGCAAGGGCCGGGAGGCTCTCCGGGGTTAAATAGCGAGGAGGGGCCCGCTTAATTAGGGGATTAAGCCGGGGCAATGTTTGTGCTTTTACAGCCAGGCCCCATGAGTGTGTATGTGAGCTGGGGAGAGGGAGGGGGTCAGAGGGCTAGTGTTTTGCTAGCCAGGACCATCCTGCAGGCTCTAATCCTGATTAACACATCAGGAAGAGGTGACCCTCGGCGACCCGGGCACCAGGCTGTTTGCCGACAATCATCCTAATCCGAACCCCGATTCTTCTGAGGGGGGCCGAGTTCTGACTGCCGGCTGCATGCTGGGACTCAAGGCGGCTTCGTTTCTTATCGAGTCACCTGAAAGTTCGGAGCTGGACGCAAATCTACTCAACAGTTCTTAACATTATCCTAAAATGAGAAATCTAATCGCAGCGTGTCGTGTTGCTGAAGCTTCATAAATTTAAACTTGCAAGAGAAAAGTTAAACTACGACTTGTCTGGCATTGCAATAAGAAGTCATGAAACTCTGTTATATCCACGTGAAAGATGAGGAAGAAAAAAAAAAGGGACGCATGTTATTTTTCATCTCCGAAAGCCTCGGCTAACTATTTTGTAGCTATTGATACTGGCGATGATTTTTCAGGAAGAAACATGGCGTCCTGGAATCGATAAGTTGCTGACTGCCCAGACTCTTTCTCAATTTAGTCGATAAAAGAACTGTAAACACTTTTTAAATGGCTCTCTAATCATACAAAGTAAATGATCCAGTCAGTGGCCCTCCGGCAACTTTATAATGCATGTTTTACAAGCAAAATATGTTGCTCATCTCGCCGCCTTACTGGAGCATACACAAATCTATACGCGCAATCAGTGCGGAGCTTCGTATTATTTATCAGAGCTGTGAAGCAGATCAATAAAGATACTTAGACAATTATGTGAAAATCCACACGCTCGTTTTTTTTGTTTTTTTTTTCGCTTTATTTGAACAGTCGCCCATTATGACCGTGATGTATGTATCATTCACAAAGCATATCAGTTGCAGTAATTGGAAGCCTGACGTGTGATTGGAGATAATTCATCATAATGGCTCTATCGTTTGACCGGGCGCCGTTCGGTTCGGGTTCAAAAAGGCGACATGTGTGGCTTCCTCAGAAGACGAGCGACACGAGGAAAACAGGCCGATCGTCGCTCCGCACAATTGTCATATCTACACACTGGAGATAGTGTCTTTCTCTTCTTTTGTCGGGCGACCGGGAGAAAAGCTGCATCCTGCCACTGTGGCTGACTGATAGGCCGGGCCTTTGTGACACACCGGGGGAGGACGGGGTTGGTTGGCGGTGGAGGAGGGTGTGTTGGTGTGTGTGTTGGGATGGGGGCAAGAATGCTGGTGAAGAGGTGTCCTCAGCATTGTTACCCTCACTCACTATTTTTATAGATGGGAGGGAGTGCAGAGAGCGAGGACGGGGGGGGGGTGATGCAGTGTGTAATTTGGCCTGATGGGGTGAGGAGGGGTGAGGATGGATGGAGGGAGGGGGTTAGTGGTAATTAAGCTCACATTGATACTTTGATCTCCTTGATTGTGCATTTGACTGGCCTGGAGATCAGCTCCTCACACCACCTCCCCTCCAGCCCTCCCAGCACATCCAGGCTGCCCCCTCTAAGGAGCCCTTTGTAGATAAAGAATAAGGCCGGTGGTGGTGGTGGTGGTGGTGGGGGGTTGTATGTTGTCAAAAGTTGCTGTGATGCTCCCTATGATGCACTCCATCCTTAACTAATAAACTCCTGCGTTGGATTCAGAGGCATTTTTAGCAGATTTAAACTTTTTTTAAAATATCATTTTATGCAGCAGGTCGGTCATCTGACAGAAAGCATATCTGGTAAAAAAATAAAAAATACAGAGCGCTATCTTCTGATTGAGCGACGTTATTGTAGCCGGACTGAAGCAATTTTCTTGCGCGAGGGGAACCAGGAGGTCTGGGCTCAACATTTTCAAAAGAAGGACATTATCTCCGATCACTGGCAGGTAAAGAGGATAATACAAGGATGCTGACCCATTTTCAAAAGCCCTCGTATAATCATGAGTGATTACTAATCAATGTGTCAATTACTTCTCCTTGAGTTATAGCCAGAGCTGTAGAAAAGATCCTCACTCAGACGTTTAATTCACTACTTGTTTACTGCAATGGGTGCATTTATTAAAAGAAATATGATTTTACATTTTTTTAAAAAGGCATAAAAATAAGTTAAATAAGAAAAAAAAAAGAATAATAAAAATGTGGTTAAAATTCTTTGAGATGGGAAAATAATTACAGCTGTGTCAGTTAATTCTGCAGCATTTTTAACAGATTAGGAAATTACTCCCGAAACAAATTGTCAGCACGAAGAAAATGGAGTCCATTAGGACATGTGATGATATTTTTTAGTTAATTGTGGCTGTCTGAGTTGATTATACGTACATGCATGAATGAACTTTGATGCAAAAAAAAAAACTGTACCTGCACAAATCAGATGCAATAACAGCAATAACACCTCCTCCACGATGAAATGTTTCTAATTAATTAGTTTAAATGTAGGATTAATGTGATTATTGATCGCAGAATTGGAATCATTGCTCTAAAATGACCGACATGTCAAACACGTGGACTAACACCAGAACAATATAAGTCTAAAAAATGCTGTGGAAAGTTGGTTTGCATTGATAGATTTTGCAAAAACTGAATTATATTTCTGTTTATGTTCATTAAGTAAAACACACATCTTTTACCACACATGCATATTTGTGAGGTCAGAAATAACAAAGTCGTGCTTTTAACATGTTAATAACACAACATGCTGCATGTGTGTTTTTAATTTGATGTGTGATTTAGACAAATGGGGCACATCTTAGCAGCAGAGGCCAGTCACTTTGCTCTGGCGCTGAGGCATTTGTTTTGTTGCATTGTGTCGCCATCTAGTGGTCACATCACCACATGACTCCACAGTGCGATTAAATCTTCACAAGGCGGCAGATAAAAGTTAAACAGACAAGAACATCTCCAAAGACAACGATACTCACCCAGGAGGGAACTGTGGGAAATGTAGGAAAGAGATGAGTAGAGGTGCTTACCTGTTTGATAGGTATGGCCCTCCCACTGCCTATGCTGTCTGTTTTACTGTCAACGCTCTTTGCCTGTTCACTGGCTTTCCGTGACTGCAAGGAAACAAGAGAGTCAGTCAGAAACTGAGGCGTCACGCTGGAAGGGAGGTGGTGGGGTGTGAGGTGAGTCTGGGGTGTGCGTTGGGGGAGTGTGTGTGTGTGTAGGTGTGTGTAGGTGAGGGAGGGGAGAGGGCGAGAGAGAGAGAGAGAGAGAGAGAGAGAGAGAGAGAGACTGGGGGTGAGAGAGGGGCAGGTGAGGGGGTCGGTGTGTTTTTTTTGAGCATTTGCAGTATTTTGGTGGAGAAACTCGGCGTTGCAAAAATAAAAACTCTCAAAAAGAAGCTTCCAAATTAACAGACAAGCAGACCAGCGGAACAAACAGCAGTAACATCGACGTGCAAGTTCAAAATAAAGGAAATAAACCAAAAAAAGAGACCAAACCAAGACCACACTAGACACATCTCAACACAGAGGAGACCAAGGACGACCACACATTGAGTCATGACTCAGCCCTGAAACCCTTTGGGGGGGAGGGGGTGGGGATCCGTCCCTCTGTTTGAGACCCAGAGCGGGCCCTTAGTGGCCCTGCAGACCAACCGCTGCTCTAGCCAGCGTTGGACCACCTTTAGTCACAAATAGCTTTTGTGGCACGACAAGTAAGTTCATAACAGGTTAGAGGGGAGAGAAGGGCAAACGGTTATTTGAAAGACAAGTAGGTTCCTCCGACCTGCAAAACCTGTTAGGGCGTAAAACCATCTTTGCAAATGTCCCCAAAAATAAAAAATAAAAAACACGTTAAGGGTCAGAGCAGTGGAAAATAACATTAACATTTCTGGTTGTGCCTGTTGGGAGGGAAACAACTGGTCAGGCAGTGGATTTCACTTCACATGAGAACAAAGCATTGGATTAAAAACCTTCCCACCCCAACACAAATAAAGGGATGAGGTACAGGCAGGGACAGACATGAGTGTGTATGGGCTCACTCAGAACATGAGAAATGTCCAGTCACCAATGGAGAAGAGGTAGAGTCCGACTTCAAGTAAACCAACTCTGGCGTTTATATTTTTTCCAACATTTTATTTTTTTTCTTATGATGACTTGTTTAGCTTCTATACAGACACCATACAAAGCAAGTCACAAATTCACTTCAAAATATTCAACAGATTGAGCCAAACATTGCAGTTCCCACAAAATATAGGATGGACAATAAAGGCATTATTTCATATATTCCTTATATGTATGTACTTTTTATAGAGTACCATTGTAAATAAAATACAATACAAGATATACAGCAGTCTATATTTTTCGTCAATCCGTTCATGATAGAAAAGCGATTATGCGAGAGTTCATAATCTCTGTACCAAACCTAAAGTGAGAGAAATGAAAATAAATAAATGAATTTTAAAAAAACAAAACAAAACAAAAAAAAAACTGAAGGTGCAAAAAATAAATAAAATAAATAAAAGAAAAGCAATTGTTAAGTTTAACTACATTCATACAAGTCGGTGCAACCCAGTTTCATTTGTTGGCAACGTTCAGTGTAATATCCCTCTGAGACACCTCGACACCCTGCGCTAGCTGTTATGAAGGCCTTCATAAACTTCCCCCAGATTACTCTGTTCTAAAATACCTGTATGAAAATACATTTATACCACATTTTTTCAGTTCCATTCAATACTGTAATACGCCCTGGAAAGTAACTCCAAAAATAAAAACCAGACCAAATGAATCTAAAAAGGGAAGAACCAAAAAAAAAACAACTTGGCACCTCTAGTCCTTGAGTCCTCATTTATGGCAAAAGGCAGTGTGATGTCATGTTAAGGAAACGTCGTGTCCTTTGGGCGGCTGGATAACAGTTCCAAGAGTGACTTGACTGTACAGCGTGTTTTCGTATGGCATGTCTGAATGAGAGCGAGGGGGGCGTGGGAGGGACGGGGACGGGGGGTGTGGTGGGGTAGTGGGCAGGGCAAAAGGGGTTGGATGGGGGGCATTTCCAGAAGAGTCCCTACAGTCTGTCTCGCGTCGTGATATTCGACAGTCTACTTTGAGCGGACTCGACTTTAGTTCGAGTCCTGTGGTTTCCGTAAGTTCTACGCATTACCCTGAATGCCGTAAAGCACCGAGGGTAAAGCGGAAACAAGTCCTCGACCGATAATCTCCTCTCTATCAGGATTGGCAAAGCAGGGGGACTCTTTTTTTTTTCTTTTCTTTTTTTTTTTTTTAAACCATCATGCTCTTCTAATTCGGAAGGAGTTGGAAAGCCCTTTTTGTTGAAGAAAGGTTGGAAACAGAAGCACAAATCTGCAAATATTAAAAAACAGTGTCAAATGGTTATTTTTTTTATTTAATTATATTTTTTTAGCGTTGTTTCGTTTCATACGTGGAGATCCAGCGACAAGTTAAGGGACCAAAAGATGAAATGGGGAACAACGGAATGGCAGACATTAATAAATGGGTCGGATGAAGGATGGAGTTAAGTATAAAAAATGCCATAATATTCATCTAAGTTCCTAAACAGTGTGCTTTTCAACACAAAAAGGGACGGACGGCCTGAAGACGTCAGGAAACCACGGACAGACTACAAAACAGATAGTTTTAAGAGTTATTGACCATGGAAGCACTAGGAAAGAATAATGTGTACTGTGCTGACACCTAGTGGCCGACGACAGTTATGGTCAAAACTGGCTTGAAATGATGGCGTGGTTGGTGAGGGCGGCGAGAAGACGGAGTGATGAGATCGTCTGATGTAAAGCTTTGAGTTTAAAAACAAAAACGGATTCATCTCTGGCAGGGGGCTTCTTCTACGACGTACAATATCTGATGTTTTTGGAGCCAGATTAAATTTGGGCCAAAAGATCTGAACCCAAAAATAATGTGCTGCACCCTCCAAAACTCTTCACATTACAAAGGATTTAATTTCAAGAGTCCCAATGCCGGTGCCGTGAACATTTGCTGCTCGTGTATTTCTAACTGGACTGGAGCTTGTGTGTAATAACCGAAGAGATCCGTCAGAACTTGTCTACAAATGACATTAAGGCATTATTTTCTTTCATTGAGTGCTTGTCTTGAAATCTCAGAATCAGCAGAAAGTAAACTACTTACAAGAGTGCGGCTGGAAAAACCTGCCGTCTGTCAGTGTCTGGCAAGGACTTGTTAGAGGACTCGTAGCACGGAGGTCATTTTATTTTTAAAACGGACAAAGCTAGGAAAAGGGACATCCTCGACGTTGTTGTTGTTGTTGTTGTTGTTGATGAAATATTTTCTCTTTCTGTTGTTTCGTAAAATGGCACAAAAAACAAAAAAAAAACCAAGAAGAAGAGGTTTTTGCGAGTCTTCCTCTCCCGTCGCACTCTTCAAGTGTCACTGAAGAAATGTCGACATCGCCCCGTTAACTTTCCTCCTCTTTCTCCTCCTCTGCTTCCTCCTCCTCCTCCTCCTCCTCCTTTCCTCCCTGACCCTCCCTCCTCCCACCCTCGGCTCGCCGCTCCTCAGAAGGTCATGAGCTGAAACTCCCGCTCGGCTTGCCACTCGGGCACCCACACTGGGTAGGTGGCGTGCTTCGGCATCTCCATGACGCGGACGGGGAGAGGCTCATTTCTCTGGTGGACATGGTTAGTCACTACCTAGCAGGGGGGGAAGGGAGACAACAAGGGGAGCTAGCACACAGCCTGTACTGCTCGGAGGCCACAAAGCCTGCGGCTCCCACAGCAGCTGGGGTAACAGGATGAAGGCGGTAGGAAGAAATAGAGGAGGGGAAGGGGGGGAATAGATAGGAAGGTTAGAGAAGGAGTTAGTTAGAAAGAGACAGGAGAGAGGAGGAGGAGGAGGAGGTAGGAGACAGGGGTCGGAGAGGTGGGCAGGTGGAGGAGAGGGGATGTACCAGAGGAGAGGAGTCATCTCACATGGCCTGATCTCTGCCTCATGAAGCTCACCGAGCTCTGGAGTTTAAAAAAAACAACTTCAGCCGCTGAGTTGGCTGGAAATTTGACAAAAAAAAAAAAACACATGGTTGGCTTTTTGGCGACAAGCGAGAAGTAAATTTGTAGATGTTCTGATTTCTACAGACCTCGCCGAGCTTGAGGAGGCTCAAGTCTGGCTACGCGAGATTAGGAAAGGCTTAGCAGCAAAGAAGAAGGCTGGTGTAGGAGGAAAGAGAGAGAGAGAGAAAGAGAGGGAACAGGGGTACTGGGTAGAAGAAGAGGGCAGAGGCTACAAGTAAAAGACAAGCTTAGGACAGCTAAGGAAATTAGAGTGGTTAGTGCACACATATGCTATTGGTTAGAGCAGAGGGCAAATATGACAGGACACGGGGTAGAGAGCAGGCAGACAGGGGGCGGGACACTGGTGTGGTAGTCAATCGTGGTGATCGAAATCGAATGCGAGCCAGATCGAGTGAGGTGAGGATCGGGGGGCGTTATCTAGATGATTAGTGGGCACTCAGAGCATTTCTGTGTGAAGCTGGGGCGCTGGAGGTTGCTGGCATGCGTTTATAGCAGCGTGTAAACAGGCCATAGGCTGGCTGTGGGTTTTTAGTTTAGCTCGGTCGGGCAGGAGAAGTGGCATTGGCGGTTTGCTGCTGCCGTCTCTCCCCAAAGGGGAAGTCACTGCAAAGAAAGGATCTAGCAAACATAAGAGGGGTGGGGGGAGGGAGGTGAGAGATTTAGACAGCGCAGAGAGCCCAGTTCGTTATGGGTGAGATGAGAAACTCAATCCATGTGCACTCACTACATCCAATTAGAAAAGAAAAAAAAGGACAAGAAAAGAGTTGATGTTTTTTTTTTGTTGTTGTTGTTGTTTTTGTTTTTTTTTCCACAGTGCTTATCTTTGATATTTGCTTTAATTGTTGAAGCATCTCAGGGATCTAATACGATATTTGTTTAGTCTTTTTCTCCTTTGCCCATTGTGCTGTGTGAACAAGACGCTGTCTTTGCCTGCATCGGAGGCAGGAGAGGTGGCTTTGATGCATTTTGAGCTACCTGTCTCCCTCTGGTGGAAAAAAGAGTGCTTGGCAACATGCCTCCTAGTAGTGTGAGTGGGTGTTGCTTTGCATCAGCTGTCGCATACTTACTGTGAAAATGTTGGAGCGGCGCTTCGACTGCTTGCGGATGGGCGTGGGCGTGTTGGAGGCAGCGATGGTCTCAATGCGCATCTCCCGCTGACTTATGCTGGGGGTGGAGGGAACGGAGGAGGAGTAGTCGCTGAACGCACCCCCACCGTTGGCCGCCTGGGGAGCGAGAGAGATTAAGAGGAACCGACAGGATGGGAGGAAAAGGAGGGAGGAGAGAGAGGGATCGTAAAAGCACAGGGAATGAAAGCAGGTCAATTTAGGAAAGACATGAGGTGGACAAGATTTCCCACACTAAACAATGCGAGCAATCATCATGAGAGCAATTACATAAAGCCGCAGACCTGCCTTTTACATAATCGCATGATGGATCTAAGTGTGTGATAAGTAAAGTAAAACAGCGCGTGGGCTGCCAGTGTTTTGGATCTTACCTGGTTAATGTGAACGGAGGGGATGGATGCAGCGGGGACCGACGAGTGGCTGGGAGAGTTGGGGAGGGATTTGCATGGACCAATGGAGAGCTGCTGCTTTTTCCTCATGGCCACAACCTTCTGGGCAACTGGAGGCAAAGACACAGGAACAGAGCGTTATCGGATCCTGTCGACGACTCGTGGTATAAATGACTTTGGTGATTCGAGAATCATGCATGTGTAGATTGTTGTCACATTGCTGCATCCTGACGCTGATAACGAGCAGCGTGTGTGTTATCTATGTAGAAACCTAATAATTAGAATTAAGCTGGAGGTGTTTCTGTAAAATGGGCTGCATCCCATTTCGCCTCGCCTCGCAGCTAAAAGGTCCCCGGTGAGGACACCCGGGATCTTTCTGCGTGGAGTCTCCACGTTCTCCCCGTGCAGCGTGGGTTCTCTCTGGGTTCTTCCTCCCACAAGGTCCAAAACATGCTGAGGTTAATTGGTGATTGTAAATTGTCCGTAGGTGTGAATGTGAGTGTGCTTGGTTGTCTGTCTCTAAGTGTAGCCCTGTGATAGACTGGTTACCTGTCCAGGTGAACCTGCCTTCACCCTGAGTCAGCTGGAATAGACTCCAGCCCCCTTAGTGAGGATTAAGCGGTGTATAGATAATGGAGACTTCAAGGGTCAACGCAAAAAAACACATTTTCCTGACTTAACTCTTGTAAGCACAGACGGACTGTTTGCAAAAAAAACATTTTTCTAACCACTAAAAGTTGACTATTTATCAATGTGCCATTTTGTTTTTCATTGTCTCTTGAGCCAAGCAGCATAATTGATGTTTCTAAAGACAACAGCTGATCTAAATTTAGGATTTCTGTACGTGTGCGACTACATTTGCTCGTGTTCATACATCAAAAGGTGTCAATAAAGTCTTTCCTAATAAAACAAAGAACAACAACAACTACTTCTGCTTCTTACACTCCCTACAACACACATTATCTAAGGCACCTCGGGCTATTTGTTTTGCAGTCTGCTGATGAGGATGGGTATCTTCAGGGAGAGAAAAAAAAAACAAAAACTCTATTTCCAAGACAAGACAATCACACAAAATGATTCTTTTTTTCTTCCTCTCCTGTCATTCACAGAGTTCTACGGAGTGATGTCGGCCAAATGAGACGACTGTCGCCATGCGAACAGCCAGATTTGCCGTGCAGTTGGTGCAACCCGTCATTTAATCCACCCGAGCGCACGGCACACTCGGCTGGGTGGAGCGGGGAGGGGAGGCGAGGGGAGGGGAGGAGGGAGGTGATGCTCGCGGCTGCGTGACGCGAATTAGCATTGAGGGAAAAGAGAGATGATCTGAAGTTGCGTTGACAGCTGGGACCATAACGCCCAGCTGCCTGCTGCTGCGGCGGCGAATACGGCGAGGGAAGGCGATACGCAGCGACTTCTCCAGACAGCCAACACTCCTTCATCCCGCTTAATTATTTCAAATTGAGCTTCAGGAAGCAATTAAAAGGCGGGGAGGGAAGACAACGTGCCCGTGCATCAACAGTTCGACGAAATGCAAAGTGAACACTGCGTTACATATTCAGATGTTTTCTGAAGGGATGACAGCCTTTGAAAGGAGCTGCAGCCTTCGGGGGATAATGCGCCGCGAGTTGAAGCAGCCGAGTTTCCAAATAACAGTTCCATGACTCCAATTATGGATTCGGGGGGGAAAAGAAGTCAAAGTTTCCAGATACTTTTAAGCCAGTGTAAGAGGGAAGAGAATACAGAACTCAGTATGAACCTTAGAGCTGTGCATCCTAAGTCATGGTTTCAGCTCGCATAATTAATGACAGCAGCGGTGACGACTGTATTTGAAGAGAAAAAGAGAAACAACCGTGAGATCCAACTCTATTAAGCTGGCGTGAACCTTCAGGTTGACCTCATTGCATCCTCCATCCATCCACACAGCGGACTTTAACATCTGAATTTTACTAAATCACATCTATTTCAGGTAAATCTGAGCTCGCTGCTTGTCACATTTACGAGCCGGTTAGTGACAGAGGGGGCAATTAATTAATCAGCTCATTGTTTTGCGGTTAATAAATTGGGCCACATTTGACCGTTTTTTTTTTTCTCGAGATGAAAATACACCGACTCCTTCGACTGAAGTGTTTATTGGAGAAACTGTCAAGAAAGCCTGCGGTCTCTCTGACACACTTGACAGATCAGAAATCATTAATGTGATATGTGGCCAGTATTTCTTTTTTTTTTTTCTATGCTGGCCTAGAATAATTTTCCTCTCAGATAATGAATGCAGCCTTTGGTTTTGCCTGAAGTGATGCCAGGGAATAAGGGGATTAAAGTGAAGGTCATCGACAGGCATCAGAGGAGAGTCAGAAATGTCTATTAATGTTTTCTCAAAGCCCACGTCTTCACACTAGTTGCTTTTTTTTTGCCACTTTCATACTAAAAATGACCCAATGTGATTATTAAATTACAAAAAAGTTTAAAATTGATGTTCTGTCAATTGATGAGCAACTCATCAAACACATCTTGTGCTAGAAAACTAGAACACTGAGGTGTCCTTTCACATTCAAGCTCCACCTCCACCCGTCTGTAAGCGCTTCCCCTCACCGTCCTGAAAGACTCTCTCCACGTTCAGGCCGTAGGTGGAGCAGGTCTCGTAGTACGTGCAGCGCTTCAGGTCGTTCGACAGCTTTCTGGCCCGCGAGTCGTCGATCACTCTGGGGTTGGCGGCGCTGATTGCATCTGACGGGAGGGGACAAGGTGACAAAAAGCATTAGTCAGACATGACCGAAGAGGCTGCTGATGCTCCGCGCTTTTGTTGTCGTCGGCAAATTTTAAGCTCATAAAACAAAACGGCACAAACATATACGGCCATTTTAAAAAGCAGACACTGTAGTTTTTAACATGTGGTCTTAAAACAGAAGTAAATGGAGCCTTTGTTAAGGAAGCAGTGGATCAGAAGGCATCTGGTGTGCTTTATTGTTTAGTATTTAGCGGGATAGTACGTGGGATTGGTTAAGTTATCATGATGACCAAATGAAGAAACGTGTGCAGCACTGTGGCTTTGTTTTAACCCTCTGAACCCCAAAAATATAACATTTCTTTCCAATGTCATTCACTAAAATCCCCCAAATTATGCCATTTATCAGAGAGAGAAACTGTAAACGCCAACTGGTACTCTTCTATCCAAAACTATTACAAAATCTAAGCTTAAAACCATGATATTTATTTAGAAAACACATTCTTTTACACGTCTCATCTACAAAAATGTCCAAACCATTGTGGATTACTTGGTACAACCATGAAGCCATAAAGTCAGAGACTACTGGGCTGAACTGCAGGATGTGTAACACGGAGCAGACGGACATAAACGGACGCACATTAGAAATCTAAGTAGTAAAATGTTCATGGTGAGTAAAGCCACCATTTTTTTTCAGTGCCGGTAACATCTGTGGAAAATGTTGCACCTGTTGATTTTCTTTTTGTGTGATATCTGGTACTACAACTTTGTTATACGGCACTAAAAAAAACGTCTGAATTCTACCTCTAGCCGTGGTTGTGGTGTTTCCATAGAGGTGCAAGACTTTATATTGCAGTTCAGAGGGTTACTCGTTTTTGGACAACAAAGAAGGCCAAGTTTACGCAGAAATAAGCCGCTATGTGTCAGGCTTTGGCTCCACAGACGACATTTTCTAATACAACCAGGTCAATGTTGGTCTTTTTGTCTTTTCACTTGTGCCTGGTATCTTTTAGAAACACTGCAGGACACTGTTGGTACTTCTGGTGTAAAGCAGCACAACACAGAGGTTTATACATATCAGATGTCGAGCAAACACCTTGTGTTCCAACGAGGACCATGGGGACCTCAGCTGTGTTCCTGTAGCTGGATAGGCGCAAGAAGTAATTGTAGACTGTCTGGAAGCTGATCTCATCCTCCAGGCTGAAGACGAAAACCACCGCATCCACCCAGGCAGCAAACTGAGGACAGAGCAGACGTGGTGAAGAACTGTGAAGCACAGGCTGCCGTACTACGGCCGGCAGGAACTGAATATTCCAAACAAATTTAGAGAGTTTGCACCAGAAATGCTGATCCGACCGGGCAAATGTGATTTTGAGACATAACAAAAAGTCTGGAAGTGTGTCAATACGCAACTTAGAGAAGTGTGACAGCTGGAAACACTGAAAATCAACATATTAATTAAGAGATTTTAGATTTTTCTGAGAGGGAAAGTTGTTGTTTTAATTGCTTTTAATGAGGACACTTTTATTTTGTTGTTAGCTTGGTAGGAATAACTTACAAACACTGGTTCCTGATGTTGCAGGTCATCTCGTCATTGTACTTCACGTATACAGACAGAAGGGGGCAGTGCAGCAACAGTCATTGCACACTGACTGGTTTGTTTTGAGGCTAAACACCAGCACTGGATGCACCGGCCATGAATGATTAAACTACTGAATCCATACCCGGTCTCTGTATTCCCACTGCCATCGTAATCTGGGTATCTTTGTGCTGCCTGCTCCATGTATACATTCATAATCTCCGTTAAGGGTCAAACTGAGAGAGAGGTTCCCCCGGAGCAGGGGAAATCAATCGTAATCACCGCCCATTGTAGGAAAGAGACTGAGGAGAACCCAGAGTAGTAGTAATAGTGACAGTCAAGACAAACTATTCTCCTGTACTGCCCTCTTCTTCATTCAGCTTTCACATTTGCCCAGACCCCCGAAGGGACTGAATGGCAAATCAAGCCTCCGAGCCTCGACTCCGCTCAGCCTCCTGTGAGTGGGAACATAATGGAGGCCTTTAATTATGCCACTAATTATACAGGCGGCTGACAACTGAGCCGAACTCGTTTTCTATTCCCTAATCTCGCCGAGCGTAATGCAAGCGTAAACCGCGTCAGGCATCAGTGGTAAATTCACTGGGAACATCGAACGAGGCCGCGTGCGTCTCCTCTCCGGGGGCTGGGCTTCCACACGTCAGCATTTAATTGAATCTGATTATTAAATCTGTCTCGACACAAATCCCTCATCAAATCTGTTAGACGCCTTTACGCAACGAAAACTATTGATGGCTTATTTTTTCCGACTCGTGGAAAGTCTATTTCGTCTCGTCAACTGAGCAGAAACAAGCTGTAAACAGCTTGAAGATGTGATCACTGCCTGATGACACTGCAGCAACATTAGCATCAATTTGCTCACATCTGTTCTTGCTCTGTTTTGCTCTCCACCAAGCCCACAAAGAAGCCACGCCTCTCCAGCTGCTAGATGTTTGCAGGTTAGTCTCTGACGTTGTTGTTCAGGTGTTTGGTGATGGGCGGAGCCCACAATGTGGGTGTGCCGGAGCTCTTGCTCAATAGGAAGCAAAGCTGACGAGAATTTTGACCTCAACACTGCAGTGCCGAATCTTTGTCTCCCCCTTTTGGCAAGGAGGAGTAACTACACAAACACTGCTGGTCTGTATCAGCTTGTATTGCTTTAATTTTCATACTATTATCCTTCCTCTGAGTGTCAGTTTTTTATTTTATCTGCTCCATCTTCAACTCTGGGAAACCGATCGCTGCTAGTTGATGTAAAAATACGACGCTTCCGATGTCGCAGCGAAGAAATATTTCCCCATACCGGTTTCAAAACTCTATTACGAAAGGGGGAATATGGAGAGATTTACCTGCAGCTTATTGGCTTAATCAGCGCTGTGTAAACTTATTTAATGGATGTTTATTTAATAGAAACGTCTCTTACTTTAGCTTCAATTCTAAGCTGGAAAACCAAAACAAACCTTTATGGATTTGTCACTAACTTGTCATGTCGTCATTCAGGCGATTGTCAAAATTTGTTGTATTTACTTATATTTATATAGTACAATTTGAAATTTTCTATTTTCTACCTCGACTCCACTGCATCATACTTTTCGATCCATGACTGCAGTTTGTACACATGATGCTGTAAAATATATGATGAGGAGATCCAATACGACCCATTCTCAAGCAGAAATCTCAGGAGAAGATGATACTAGTACTGTGCAATCATGCAAAAGTCAATGTTAGTATAAATCAAAGACTCTTTGACTTCCTAAAGTCCAATAAAGTCCTGACTGAGCTGTAAATGGGAGGTAAGACCCAACCGTCTCTGGGTAAACGCCGGCACTGTCACCAGGAAGACTTAAAGCCGGCTATAGATGAAACAGTGGCTCCATCACTCTCCACATACTAATGGGACGATTAGGTGTTGTCCCGTTGACCACAACAAAACGATTCTGGCTCAGCTTGATCAATGATCTGTTGTTGCTTTTGGTAGAACAACCGCAGAGTGCTGTCACACTGCTCCAAGCAGCCCTGCAGAGAAGTAATGGGCTGTCTCTAAACAGTTCACGTCCGTGGACACTTTCTGACGGACACACCTTAGAGCTTCAGAGTAAAGAGACATTTTAAAGATCAGCGGGGCGCCTACCTGCAACTCCGGAGGCCCTCCTTCATCTCTGATCAGAAGCAAATAGCTCTGTCCGTCCACCACAATTTCTTTCTTGAAGCGTCCACCTGAGGAAGAGACATTTGTTCCAAGAGTTTAGTCCAAGGTCATTCTGACATGTTCGCTCAAATTAGAAATCGTGTGCTCGGGTGTAATAACGAACCACCGGGGGTTCCCGAGTAGAACAAGGCTGCAGACACATTTCACACTCATTAATCAGGAGAAAAAAAAAACAAGAATGTGCCAAATAAACCAAAATTCAATATCAAAGCACAGCTTGACACAGCTCATAAAAGTTTGGTGAGATGCATACGAGTTTAAGTGCAGCTTCTCAATTTAGCCCTCCTGAATGCGGCGTTGTCAGAATCATACGCCGACAGGAAGCCAGGTCTCTCTGGAGCCAATTATGTGGGCGAGAAATTGCCATTTAGCATATCTAATGCACAGCTGCTGAGGGAACCAGTTCAGTGCCACTGTCACAAGTCACGGAAAGGCTCAACTTTCAGTCCACAAACACTATCAAGCTGCATAGTCGCTCTCCGCCACCTCACTGGGTTTGACGATCGGTTTTCACAACAAATTGCACTTGTGAAATGTTAAGACGACAATTTCAGGGGGAAATAAAATAAGAGTCAAACGAGAGTGTCTTCGTTCTGACCTTGTGCTGTTTAGGTCACACCATGTCCACAGGATAGTGGTGGGAAGCTAACACTTAGCCATGCAGCCTTGAGTTTCTCTACCCTTTGCTTCATTTCGTTTCTAATACAAATACATTTTCCTTGCCGCTAGCAAAGCTGGCTGCAGATAAAGAAAAGACCAATGGGAGAACCACGCAGTAAATTAGATTTTGCATATCATTTGAATGGTTTGCGATCCTGTGGAGATTAAAAACATTCAAATGAGAAAGTTGCGAGGCTAGAGATGGCCCTGGGAGTGAAAACAGTGTCTTATGAATACGAAAATATGCTGAGAGCAATTTGATAAAATTGAATAATGCAAAAAAAATACAAATTCAGAAAATCTAGGAATGATCATGTATCCAAAAATATGAAGACGGCAGACGTGCACATACGATGACAGCACGTCTCTTACGTTTGTCTAGGAGTTTCAAACGCTAAAATCTTCCTGTGATTAGATAACAGAATGTCAGATCATGTTGTTGAAGCAACGACTGAGAACCACAGAGCTTGCACCACAGAGGAGCTGTAAGGGCTGTACGGTAGCCGTGCCCTGTAATTTTTAATAGGCAGACAGTATTCCTGTGTCAGCAAGCAATACATATCCACTTGAACCACACTTCCACCCCTGTTAAGTCCACTTTAGCCCGCTTGGCAAATAGGGGATTCTCCCAGCCTTTTGCATAGACTCTCAAACCCTGCTTGATGCTGGTTGTGTAACAGAGAGAGAGAGAGTCTCAGGAACCACCAGCCAGCTTTTTTTTTTATTTTTTATTTCTTACTGAAGTCACAGAGCTTTGGAGATTCAGACAAAGGACTGCGAAGCTATGCGTCTGTATGTTTGAATCCCGTTTGAAAAGCGAGAAAAAGATGGGGAGGATCTCATTACGCAGTGTGAAAGAGCAGATCACAACAATACAGACCGAACCCAAAGATTTAACAGACTACATAGTTTGCATGGGAACCGGCGGCACGCACACGCACGCACGCATAGCAGATGACGGAAAAAGACTCTTGAAAACCGGCGTCTGTAATGAAAGCATATGGCTCGGTCGGAATCTGAAGCAAACATTTCAGTTACATAATCATCCTGTTGTCTTTATTTAGAGCCGAGCCAATACAATGCATCCCAGTGCTGTGAATAAATAAGGCAGACTACCACTCTCCCTCTCTCTCTCTCTCTCTTTTTATTTATTTATTTTTTCTGGCATGATGAAAAGCGATTATTTGAATTTGAGTTCAGCCTCACATTAAAACAGGCGACTAATAACCCTCCGCACAGCCCACTGAGAGACGGTGAGCTGGTAGGCATGGTTAACACGCAGCAAGCATACTCTGCTTACACGGAGGCTTAGACCTTGACACAGAGCCACAATCCAACGGAGCTCCATCCGGTGTTGCCATAGCAACACACCCCAGTACCTTTTTTCAGATATCATAGCAAAAAGCCCAGGAACAAAACAGTGAAGAAAACAGCCACTGCTCAACCTTCCACTGCTGGGCGATGCTGCTGCTGCTGCTGCTGCAATGTAAATACTCGATCTGGAGTGGAGCCAGCGTTAAGGAGACAAAGGAGAGCCAGCTGGTGCTCATGAGGCAGGTACGTTGTATCACAGCGATCCGTAAAGGGGCACATCCGAGCCGACACGTTTCCCCCACCCCACGATCACGGCGACAGAACCCGCTTTCTGTTTTTCCAGCATTTCCGCCATTGATTTCTCAAGGACTAATTAAGCTATGAGGATTTTTCTCCCTTGGTACAGCGAAATGCCAGAAACTAATTATGCGCTTCATGTCTCACCCTCACTATAATTACACTAAAATGAAACACTGCAAACCCCCTCAAAGATCATCAGTTAACTCTGGGTTTGCCAAAATATTTGTGGCATTCTGAGAGGAGGACGCACCTTTCAGGCCAGAAGGGGGCATTCTTGTGATGGGCTTTTCTAATGAACAGGACCTCCTAAACATGCCTTTAGTTTGTTATTGCAACAAAAAGTTGAATTTACAGCCTCTGAAAAACGATTAGTTTTACCCTACAGCCCCAATTTACAAGAAATGTCGTCCTCTGGCTTTATCTCGCAACTTTTAGTCGAGGGGGGGAAAAACAAAAACACAATTATAAAGGAAACTGTGGCAATTACCAACCCTGGCATCTGGAAGCTTGATAAAATCCGACACAAAACATTCTAATACAAACTAATTAGAAAAGTACTCTGACAAGCAGCAAACAAACCGTGTTTCATGTAAATATCCGGCTGCACTCCTGCTAATATGGTTATCCTTCTGTGCAGCGCGACAATACGTGCCAACATGCTTGACTTTCTGCTCACGACAAACAAAAGGGAACTAATTTGCCACCCAGCAGCTCGTCGTATAATTTGACTTTGACGCTTCTGAAACACACGGCTAATAACGAGGGTTCTCTTAATTCGCGAGAGGCCGACATTAGAAGGTTTTCACACCTCAGCGGCGACGTAATGTAGATGACAAGTACATCAGCGGCGGGACATTGAGGCCTCAGCAAACCCGCCGCATTAATCTTTGTGTTTCTGCGCCTTTGTGTTATCTGTCATGTTTGTAATCACCTCCTGACCCACAACACCCCCGGCAGACGCTTACCTTCAGGAGACTCCTCCTGCACATATGTGCCTGTCAGGTACCGATGCACCAAGGCGGACTTCCCACTGGACAGGTTTCCCACAATGCCCTGCAAGACCAAGAGCAAAACACTGTGGTTACTAATGACAAGACACAAAATAAACACTTCTGAAGCTCCGAAAGAAAAGACGTCAGGAATCTTGTGGGGCTTTTTTTTTTTCTGAGCTATTGTTTTAAAAAAGTCAAAAATGAGCCTTCGAGCTGCGTCGTAACGGCTTCGCAGGTTTCAGCTCATTATCTGCGACTTGTGTGCGGCCGACAACAACAACAACGCTGCATCCAGACCGAAAATGAAACCTCAGACAGACGTTTGGGAGATAATTCAATTCAAAAAGGTTTCTGTTCGGCTGGCGAGCATCAAATCGGAGTCGTACGAGTTTCCCTGAATGCATCATCCACCGCAGGTTTGAAAATAATTCTTGCTGACAGCAGCATTACCATTAGAGCGCGACAGATAAACCAAAGGCTGGCATTTGGGGTTATATATAGTTATACTTATAGTGGCGTATATGTAGGGAGTCCAGGCATGGAGACGTCCCAGAAAGAGAAATGTTTGGAAAGATTCTCTCAAGTTTAAGTTCTCCTGGTCTGTCGATCCACAAACTTTATTAATCAAACATTTTAAAATCCAAAAATCAAAGTGGTCTGTTGTGCTTAATGTCTACGATAGATTTTATCAGTCAGGTTGTAATTATCACACAAAGTCAGTGAACTCCTGGTGAGTCAGGTTTCACTGGGATTGATTGCTTCACTGGAAATATTCCAGTGAAAAGCTCAACATCTGGGCTTCTCAGGAGATGGTAAAAGAAACTACTTTAAGGTGGCGGCTAACAAGCTAAAGCACAACCAGCACGGTTCGGTTCTTTACGTTGGGTTGAAACATTATGTGCAAAGTCCTGCTTCCTGTGCTTCCTGTCCCCGGTGTCTAGACCAGACCTGAGCGCGGTGCCTTGGGGGTGATGCATGACGGAGGGTGGGCTGATGATGCCAGCATGTCTGGGAAGAACAAAGGCTGCAACATGCCTCATCTCCTCCCTCTCCTCCTCCTCCTCCTCCTCCTCTACCCACCATCGCCCTCCTCTTCTTCAGATCGTTAGTGGGTGTTAAAGTCAGGTATGGTTCTAATTATAGGGACGTTTGAGGCACAAGAGAAAAGATCCGTTTAAGGCCTTTCCCGGCCGCCCCCCCCTCCGAATAGCTCGAGTATGGATGCATCATGAGGTACCCCGGCAGAACAAAGTATGAATAAGCTGTAAGTTAGCAAAAGCTGTAGGCCGTGAGCGGTGAAAGCTGTGAGTCAACAGAAATCGACTCTGAGTGCGCCACAGAACCGGCGTCCCTGCTGTTTAACCGCTTTCTTTGTGACCCGCTGCTATACGGGCCTCGTGAAATCAAAACGCCGGATCAGCACTGCTCCACGTTCTACAGGACTTTCACTCCTCTTTGTGGATGTTTAGTTTGGATCTGGAAACACTAAACAGCTGATGATGGAGAAAAAAAAAAAAAGGCAGTAAAATGAGGTTTGGCTGCAGTTAAGTCGCCATCATGAAGCGACAACGCCGGCAGCAGACGAGGTTTCCTCCAGCGATTGTGATCATTTCAATTAATCCGCAGGAATTGTTCTGACCCCGGCTCCTTTCATTATTACTGCAGCATGAAAAGGAAAAGTCTGATTTTTTATTTTTTTTTGCTATCACATTAACAAGCTCCCGAGACTTAGGACCAAATTTGGCTTCACCGTGACCTTTAGAAAACTCTTTGAAAGTTTTTGAAAGGAATGATCGCTATTTTGCTTATTTCAGTCTTTCCGGGTCCGTTTAACGCAGCCCCGCCAATTAACACCTTTAGAAACATAAAAAGAAAACCAACGCGCTGCAAGTGTTTGAAGCCAATAAAGCAGGTTTGTTCTTTGAGCTCTTTGTGAATCCTCCCTTTTCATTTCATTGAAGTTTTCCCTTATGCGAGGTGCGACAACAGTGGATTCACCTAACACGGAAATATTACATCCACTGGCAGAGCGGCGGACTTTTCAAGGCTGCTCGTCTTTATGGGTGGATGGCATCGAATCATGTGAGCATGTTAGTTGTGCATTTGGCAGCGGCTGTGTGTGTGCTTCACTGGCGGATGGGATCAGACCCAGGATGTGTCACCGGTCTAGCCCAGAACTGTCACTCATCTCGTGTCCTGGTGCAAGCCACCCTGCATCTCCATGCCAACACATCTCATTAAAAATCACCCACTACGTGCCAGGGAGAAGTCCGGCCAATTTTCTCAAATGTTCCCTCTCATGTGAAATGCAAAAACCAGTATTACATGGACAGAACATGCTTTGCCACTGACATTTAAATCCATCAGTAAGATGAAACCTCGGAGGGCGAATAATCAGCGGGACTGTTAGAAATGAAAAAAGAAAAGTTACTCACCACTTTCAGCTCTGGCACTGACCGACTCAACGTCCATTCCTGGCTGTTGACGAAGGAGTCTGGAGAGAGAGAGAAAGACAAAATAGACGGATAAATAAATAATGAATGTCAAGCAGCACTGAAAGGTAATCTGTTTTATGCTCCGTTTGGCGCCAGCTACCGATAAAATGGCATTATCAGTACTTTTCCACTGGATGAGGGCGAGCTGACATTACGGCTGCAGTTTACAGACTGTCTGTGGAGTTTTACGACAAATGCTCCGTTTTGTCGTATAGATATGACGGATCTTATCTGCAGGCAGGGGAGGGACATCTCCACTCACTCAGCGATAGACTCACAAGATACCTTCTTTACAGAGAGCTCACATTTAGTTTTGTTTCCCCGTCGTCCTTTATTTCCTGCACACACGACAACCAGCGCCGTCGTTTTATGAACGTTTAGTGCAGAAGCAGTACAGAGGTAAAGGGAACATATAGCCTATGACCGGTATCTGTGCACTTTAACCCTGTTCAGGACTTTTGGTTGAGGTGAAATGTATTGTTTTTTATTTTTGAAGATTTTCCATCCATCCATCCATCCATCATCTCTACACCTTAATTCTCACCAGGGTCATGGGGGGCTGGAGTCTATCCCAGCTGACTCAGGGTGAAGGCAGGTTCACCTGGACAGGTAACCAGTCTATCACAGGGCTACACTTAGAGACAGACAACCAAGCACACTCACATTCACACCTACGGACAATTTACAATCACCAATTAACCTCAGCATGTTTCTGGACTGTGGGAGGAAGCCGGAGAACACGAAGAGGACCCACGCTGCACGGGGAGAACATGGAGACTCCACGCAGGAAGATCCCGGGTGTCCTCACCGGGACGGGAACCAGTGACCTTCTAGCTGCGAGGCGACGCTGCTAACCACCGTGCAGCCTTTTTTTCAAGATTTCTTATTTAAATATAAAAAGAGGGACATTTGTCGTGCATTTGGAACCAAAAATATGTCAATTTATTAGAAAATTTATTTAACATAGTACAAAATCTATAATGAAATATTTTGCACATATTCTTTCTTGACCAAAGACCTTCTACGTGTGGAGACATGAACGTCCTGAACAGAGTTAATCAGTGCGAACAAACACCTAAAACTAATCGAAATATAACCAGCAACCATTTTTATTAATCTACTAATAATTTAAATCCCTTTTGGTGGGCCGATAAAACATACACATACAGCTGGATTTCATAAATTCATTAAATATATTTTGATTCTGGACCGTTTCGTTTGACGTTTGAATAAAACCAACTCTGGGAAACGGTGACAGACATTTTTATCAATCCGGCAGTTCATCAAGAGAACAAGCTGCCAGTTAATTATTGGTGGAATAAGTTTCAGCCCTAAAAAAATTAATTGCTTTTCATTGTAGTTTTGTTTACTTAATAAACACACGACTGCCGAGGAGCTGCGGTCGAAAACAATCTATTTCAATGTAAGGTTTCAAAATAGCGCAATCTCGGTGAGGGATTTAGCTAATCTATTTTTAAAAGTCAGCTATTATCAGGCTGGATTCAGCTTGTTTGGTTTTCCTGTGACATTTGCAGACTTTGACTAGATAATAGTGATTTAAAAAAAAAAAAAAAAAAGGGGGCAGTGGGGAGGAGGACTATAAAGAACAATGCAACCCCTGAGAACTGAAAACACAAATGACAAGTCGGCAAGCTGCGCTCAGTTCCCACAGAGATGGAGTACACAACCATGTGTCATAACAACTATTAGAACAAAGACCGGCTTCCTGATTCGGATCACGGTTTTCTCAGCGTCCGAACCCCCCAGGAAGATGTTATCTCTGACATGGGAGTGAACATCTCCTGGCAGCAAGGTGTGTAATACCAGGTGACCCCCCTCCACATGTCTACGCCTCGACAATTACGGCATTCATGCACCATCATTACCGTAAGCCCGTCTGTTGCATCAATAGTGGTTTTCCTTTGTGCCCCGGGCGATGCTAATATGGAGAGAATGGCAGCGTAAACATGAAGGTAACCACTGCTGCTATAAGACACGCTTCTATTTTCTCTCCAAATAATGCTAAAAGCGTGAATGACTCACAGCCGAACAGATCGGAGCCAAAAATTCCTTTACCTACTACAATTAGAGTAAAATAAAAAAAATCCTCAGCTAAAATGTTTACTTATTCCTGACCTCCATTTACAGAGAGCTCTGGATGTCTCACTTGTTGTGGGAGAGGAGAGTGCATCCCGAACACAAGGGCCTTTCACCAGCATTGTGTGGAGCGGAGTAGTCTTTAAACAGCACGCCTCCCGTTAAGCCCTCTTAGTGTGGGTTTGACATGTCGGAACATGAGCGAAGACATCCACCAGCCTCGCTTTTAAAGTGGAGGAAGCACAATGCAGGCACAGATGATATTAGATAAGGCTGTTGCCTCATTTTCTTCACATATACAGTGATTGCAAATGTATTCGACCAACACCCGCCGTAAGGTTTACACCACAGCTGTCAGAAATTAACAGCATTGGTGATTACCTAAATCATCTTTTATGTTTCTGTAACAGTTAATACACCAGTATGTAGAAGCTCTTTAACCGAAATGATGTTTTTAATGCCAAAATATAATTATTGTTGTTATCCATGAATGTAAAACTGAAATAATACTAAAGCACATTATTATTTCTTGATTAAAATGTCAAATTATAGTTATTTACTTGCATTCCTGAACAGGAAAATTAGTTTTAGTGGCTGAATGTGATTAATTTTCTCAGAGAAGCCCAGTGAGCCGGCTCACATCTGGGTAGAAAAAGGTGAATTCAGTTTGAAATCCCTTGTTTAAAATGGTAAAACGTGGAGAGCTGAGTGGCGTTAAAGCACTTCATAATGCTGGATGGTCTATATATATAAGTTTACATCCACTCTATAAAAAGACACCTTTTTTTCTCACTGTCTGACATTAAATCAAACTAAACTCTTCCTGTTTCAGGTCAGTCAGGATCACCAACATTATTTCTATTTGCTAAACGCCAGAATAATGAGAGAGAGAATTTTTAATTTCTCTTTAGAACAAGCTGACAAATTAGACAGGTGGTCGGATAAATTTGTTAAGCGCCGTACATATAAAGAAAACGAGGCTTTATGTGTGTGTTAGTCGGAGGATTGAGCAAAGCTAACAGTCACAAACACCAACGAGACAGACACATTGCGAGGTGCCAGTCTTTAGCACTCGCTATGGAAACCAAACACCGGCACCAAATCGGTGAATCGAGAAATAAACAGAAAAACACCTCAATGTTTTTTTCCCACATATGCCCGGTCCACGAAATCAGATTCTCAAAGAGGGAACACATTCAAACAAAAGGCCAATTCGCAGATGAAAAGGCAGGGAAACGAAGGGTTACCCAAAGAGGCCGACACAGAAATGGAGTCGTTGGCCGCTGACGAGCGCTGCATTTCTGGAACGGCACATTTCCTTATTGTTGGCTGTAACACCACTTGTGTTTTCAAAGACATAAAAAACACAAGTGAAAGAAGAAAGCGAGAGAAAACGAGGAGCTTTTTTAAACAGAAAGAAAAAAAAAAAAAAGGAAGAAGAAAAACACCCATGCATTTCTCACGACATTAAAACATCTTTTTAGGAAGTCCTCCAGCACACCAAACAAATAGTAAGACGGAGCAAACGTCTGACTTCTGCCATGCTGGGGGAGCCGCGGTGCAACCAGTTTGCTCAAAGAAATTGCCCTAATTGAATCCATGTGCTCGGCGTTACGTCATTCTTTAAATATGACCATCCCCACATTACCGCGTCCCAGAATGCCTATGGAAACAGAGAGCCCCAGCATTTGTGATGCTAACAGAGGACACCAGTGTCTTTGTCTCTGTGAGGACGGCTGGTGGTGGTGCTGCTGGTGGTGCTGGTGGGGGGGGAGCTGTGCTGCCAGCTTGTTTGTCAGGTTTTACACTTCACTGCTCATGTCTACTCGCATAAAAATGACCATTCAGTCTGAGTGTAGTGAGGCACAATAGACTTATTCCATTTTATGAGAAAAGAAAATGCAGTGTGAGCAGGTCAGTGCGTATGCTTGAGTGTGTGTGTGTGTGTGTGTGTGTGTGTGTGTGTGTGTGCGTATGCATACATTGCAGTGAATCTGCAGCGGTTTGGGGAATGAGAGGACAACCTTGAGGTCGAAACTTCCACTCCGGCTCTGACTGACTTTCCAAACCATGTTTTTTCCACCGTCATAAATTACAGAGTGAGAATTTAGCTAGCAATTAGTATTTCTACTTCGATGATTCGCCAACCTCATGACCGACCGACATTCCCCCGTCTGGCTGCTTTTATCATGCACGTCTTGACAAAACAGTCCTGTAGGATCTCTTTCTATTTTGTGTGGCTCCCAGAAAAAAAACATCAACACAGAACCTGGTGAGACTCTGTTGTGTGTTCTCTCTGTCAGAGAGCGACAAAGACAATCAGCAGAGAACAAGGTAAAGATCTTTAAGTCCTGCCAGTGAATGACCTTCCCTCCTTAAAGCTCCTAAAGCCTTGTGCTGTCTGCACAGAGCCATTGATCACTTCCCTGGAAATAAATTGGACATCTGGGCTCAAACAGGATTTTAACACGATATTTACAAAGTAGGGTTTTTCTAGAAGTCTCGCGGTGGACCGTCCCCCGGGCCGACCGGCTCGGTTTGTCGAGTTAAGACACAAAACGCGTCTTTGTGCGAGAAAACAAACCGACGGAAACAATCGGCCACGAATCAAACACAGGCATTATAGAACGGTTTCTAGATTTGTTGGTGAAACGGCTTCCTGAAGGACAAAATGTACGCGAGCCGAGGTTTGCGGTGGCAGATGCTCAAATATAAGTAATACTTGGTTATTAACAGATTTCCCAGCGCTCCAGCCTAGACTGTGCATGACTCAGATTTTTCAATATCTTGCAGCCTCCCCATGTGTCCTACAGCAGGTGAGAGGGCATTATCACAGTGTTACTGTTTGTACAACTTTCCTGGAAAGTGTCTATTTATCTTGAGCATAACTACCTGCTGGGAGCTGGGCTCACCCCCGCCCCTGCTGGTGTAAACGACATAAACAAATGCATCTCCTAAATTATTCTTCAATATGCAGGATTGGGAGCAGGCAGACGTATTCCGAATGCAGAGAAGTACTGTTGGCAAGAATTTAGCAGGGAGCGACGTTGAACGAGCGAGAAAGAAGCGAAGGGAATTCCGTCCTCATGAATAACGTTTATGTCGGATTCGAGATAAACGAGTCCGCATCGCGCGCACGCCGGGTACTTTCTTCAGATTATAAATAGCAAGTCAAGGTGAGTCTGAATAAATATGCATCACTTGAGTGTTTTTCTGTCTGCTCGGCACATTGACCCGCAATAAATCTATCTGCAATCCCCTTTCCTGGTATTTCAACCTTCAGCAGATCCGCGCGCCTCGGACCGGCTACGCCTCATGACCGGCCGCTGCTTATCCAACCCAAAGACCCCCAGAGAGCCCCCATGTCAGCACACGCTCCGCTGATCACTCCTGGATCCACAGGCACTACAGAGTGGCTTTGTTCATCCACAGGTGGGGGGTGGGGACACCTCAAACTCTGGTTAAAACTCCCTCCCCCAAAACCTCACCCACAACACTTGAGCTCAACTAGAGTGTGTACATGTGTGTGTGTGTGTGTTCGGTTTTTAGGAGTGCTGGGCTTCAGCTTTCTGGATTTAATTTAAGAACAAACACTTAGGCAGGTAGCAACAGGCGCAGAGTCCCGCCCAGGGCATTGAACACCTAACCTTACGCTGGCTGATCGGCACACCTACATTCCTGATGCCTGACTGACTCTGCCGTGGAATAAATGGAAAAATATCACTTGACAGTCCACCACAATAGAATACGTATCCTTGGCAACGTGTCATGTGAGAATACAAACAGACGGCAGATCAACAAGGATGACCTCGGGTCCTTTTACGAGCTGTATGTTACAATAAAACGCCTCCTTTTGCTGGTTCAAAGTTGGGCTTAATGTGAAAGAACAGAGGCTATGCGTGACCCGACACTGGCAGGGGTCATTAAGTTGTCACAGACGACTAATTAGGTCTCAGCGCCAAGGTGTGAAATTGGAGTTTGACGTTCAAAACGCAGCAAATCGCAGCCATTATTTCAGATAGTTGCAAATATTTGCCTCTCTCTGGCTGCTCTTCCAGGCAACTGGACAAACACACTCCACTGTCAGAGTTAACCTTTAAACACAGTGCTTAAGTCGTTTTCTCCTCTCCCCATCATTATAGCATGTAAGCCCTCTTAATTTAGCCCTGCGAGACTGCCAAACGCATCCCCATTACAGCCACTAACTGCTTTAATGCTGCTTCTTTAAGCTGCCTGTGTGTGAGGCCAACAGACAGCATTATCAAGACGCTCATGTCCTGAGTCCGGGTAACACACAGACAGCTCTGGGACTGCTAGGCCACAGCTGCCCCGCTTTTAAAACAAGCCGCCGTAATGTTCTTATCAGTCACTGGTGACTTCAGTTTACTGTACTTACCTACTCATCTACTGAACTTCAGAAAACATTGTACAAGGCAAAGTAATTGCTGCATAAGTGCACACAAACAGGAGGTTCACACATGAAAAGCACTGGCGAAATAAAGAACCTAAAATAGAAATTCCAAAAGGACTCTGGAACCAGACGCTTTTGAACGCCATCCAAACTCACAATTCCCCACATGTTTTTCATTTGCTTGTGAAAAAAAAAAAAAAGTACACTTCCGTGTTTCTCTTGGGCTGAAAGTCTGTGCAGTGAACGGGGGGCTATAAATGGAGAACTAAGCTGAGAAATAAATTCAGCAATCTTGCAGGTCTTACCTTGACCTTTGTGGGAGTCAGAGTCTGCCAGAGTCTCTATGGTGACCGGCTGTGACTTATGATTCTCAGCCTGGGGATGTTGGCCGGGGTCTGAGCTCTGGGAATGTTCACATTTGCCACTGTACGGCTGCTCTTTCCTCCTGAAACGGTTGGCTATGAGCTGCCATATGCTTGGTTCTTCCTGAACCGGTTTGGAAGACAGTTTAGTTGGACAGAGGGGAACCTCCATCACCTTGACCTTTCCCCTGCTGTGGTACTGAATGTACTGCATGCCCCCGTCTTCTGTCTGCTCACTGGCAGGTGGAAGTGTTCTTCCTGTGAGGTACGAGAAGGGCCGTGGAGCCATTGTTGGGTCCTCAGCGGTGCTTTTAGTCCGACAGTTCTCTTTTGATTCCCCCTCAGACCCTAAATTAATTTTGTCCCGAGGCCGAGTCCTCCTGATTCGCAGACTGAGGCTCCGCCTTAAAGTGCTCAGCGTACTCTTTGAAGCATCAGATTTGCTGGATTTGGGAGAAGATGCAACATCCTTGACGTCCTCCTTCTCTTTGCTCTTATCTTTGCCAAACAGCCTCCAACGAAAGCCTCCTTTAAGAAATCCACCTCCATCGCTTCCGGTGTGGTTGCAGCTCCTCTGGCTGTCGAGCTCATCGTCAGAGCCCCGCTTTCTTAGCTCCAGTACCGTCATGCTGACGGGCCTGGGCTTCCAGCTCCTCTGACGACCCCTGAGGGTCACCTGTGAAGCGGCTGATGGCCGTTGAGCCACGACAGGATTGAGGCCATCCACTGCCCTCAACTCAGCCTTCCTGTTCCTGTACTGCTGGTTGGTTTCTGAAATCCCTGCTCTTTTACAGAGTTGCTGGGTCGGAGGCTCTGACAGGACTTGGCCTGGGCCTGCCAGCATGCAAACACTCCTGGGCCTCCGCAGGCGTCTTTCTTGTTCAGGCTGCCAATCTGTTTGTTGCTTGACTGGGTCGCCATACATGCTCATCGTCCTCCGGCCGAGCAGGGCTTCATCCTGACGTGGCCTTCGCAGCACGGCCCGTGGCAGAGAACTATGTCCCGTAACAGAACCATGATCCCCGAGAACTAGTCCTTTAGAACGGAGGCCGACGGAGCATATCGTGGAGCTCTTTACGTGCTGCCTCTGCCTGTCTGCCTGAGCTGCTCGCTCTGCCACGTCTCTGGCGTGTTGTGAGGAGCTTCCTGTGTTCAAAAACCTGTCAGTCTTCATTTTTCCCTCCACCTCCTCCAACTCCTCCTCATTCTCCTCCAAAACCACCTCCTCTCTGTGCCTCCCACCTCTACCTGTAAGGCTCAGGGAGGGCCACCTGTCGAGCTCCTGTCGTGCCCTGCCCAGCCTGGGGCTCTTCTCCATTGGCACTACACTAATTATCTCTTCTTCTGGCTGGCAGTTCTCCACCAGGGTGTGGGTGACTCGGCCCAATCCCAGCTCTGACGCTGCTGCTGCATCTTCTTGTGTTTCCTTCAGGGTTACAGAGATGTGGTAGACAGTCATCCCCTGCTGCTGCTGCTGTTGCCCATTACTTGTACTCCTTGGGGTCGCATCCACGGTCCCACTGCTGAGGAAAAGCATCTCACTTTACTCAGACGGATACGTCCTCACTCACACACAAAACTAGTGTGTAGCACAGGCCACGGTTCACATTCTGCCCAGGAGTTGAGATTCAGCGCTTGAAGTCCTTCGCTTGAAGACTAAATTCCTATGCCAGGCATAATCCTTCACCTTTGACATGGGAAAAAACTTCAAACAAGCTGGAGCAAAGCCTCGCTGCCACCTGCATCCTCCGGCTCCTTGATTCAGCAGACTCACACAGGATGGAAGCTGCTTTTGCCCCACGCTGCTCTACCTGCCCCGTACGAGCACAAGCACAAAAGAAAAACAGGTTCTCCATTGCTTATTTTGCCACAAAGCCATTTCTGTAGCAGATACAAAAGTTACACCTAAAAAAAATGAATCATCCTTCCTCTTTGGCAAGTTACGAACTGTGAGCAATCCTTGTTGTTGGCGGCGCAGACAAACCCCTTAATCTCTGAGCTCTTGCCATGCAGAGCATGAGGGAGTGTGTCTCTGTTTGAACTTTCAGCTGCCTTCCAACCCCCGGGACACATGGAAAACAAGGAGTGGATCCCAGGGGCATTTAAACACGCCCTCCTGATTTCTCCAGAGCCGCTCGAAGCCCCCAAAGACACAAACAGACAAAGTGAGCAAGAGATAAAGAGAAGACTGAGCTGATTAGACACCGCTATAATCAACACAGACCACAATCCACAACAAACAGCCATGAATGGACACTTTGTCTGCTTATGACCAACAGCAGAACACAAAAAGGGGGAAACACTGGAGGACGAGGAAACAGAGCGTTAAAAAAAAACTGGCACGTTTTTAGATTTTCCAACATTTAACCTCCCAAACATGTCAGTTTTAATGATCCAGCTCCACTTTAATGGTCTAAACAGATCACTTGTCTCTCATAACTTTGATAGGGGAAGATTTCAGCATTAAAAAAATAAAAAAAAAACACGAATGCCTCTCATTCCAGGACCCACGAGAACAGCAATGCAGCGCAACCTGTGTCAGTAACATGAAGCATCCACACAACCACACACACACACCACGCTTCCAGTGGCTCCCACTACAGCCTACACTCAGTGGGAGAGCTTAAGCCTAATTCCAAGATTGGCTGACAGCTATTTATGGGGAGGAAATTGTATTCTTTTTAAAGCGCCGGTGGTTACTGCGGCAGAAAACCGGTACATCGGTCATTATGTAGCGATGCACATCTCCACATAATTACACATTCGCTGCGAAGGCTGTTCGCCACCTAACTTCAGTGAGGAAACGAGCACGTTAACCTACTGAGAATAACACCATCTGATTGAACGTTAGGACCCCGGGAGCCGTTACATTTTGAGTTCAATTTCCTCTTTTTCCAGAGGTGTGGTGCTGAATTAGTGAACAGCTCGTGCACGGGGCTACGTAGCACAGTCATGCCAGATTTTACCTGCTCATCTCTGCAGCACTCTTGCAGCAGGGTGGTTCGGGCTGGAACACTGCCCCTTTGTGGTCGATAGCAGGAAAATTCGGGCAGTAGAGAAATGGTGACGATACAATGGTGTCAATTAGGAAGCTACTAACACGCGTATAATTAGCCAAGGTGATGATGTGTCGTCACAAGATGAGAACAAACCTCTCTGCAGTTGGATTTTAAACTGAAATCTGTCCCACAGTGCATATAAACCCACAGGTGCATGACTGCTTATGTGGGATTTTGGCTAGAAAAAAAAATACCCGGAACAAAATGGCATCAGCGACTGGCCTTTCTGCGAGTGCATCACTGTGGGAAATCCAATATAATCATGACTGTATCACCATGGGAAATCCAGCACAACCAGGAGCCGGAAAGTGCAGCAGCTTTGGGCCAAAAGCTGAATCTCACTCACTGGCAGCTGATTTTGAAAACTATTTTTTTTTTTCCCCCCACAACAACAACACCCCGAAGACTCGCAATAGCTGAAACAATGCTCATTTCCCGGGTTTGACGGAAAAACATGCTCCAAAGCAACAATACTTCACTTCGTCTTGTTCCTTCTTCAAGTAGGTGTGAGTAAATCCCGGATACCAGAGGCGAGTGCGTTCTTTCCTTTTGTCTTCTAATCAGCAGACTCGGTGTTAAAATGAAAACAATCAAGGACATTTTAGGTGTCGTGCCAAGAAACTTGTAAGCACGCACTGTAGCCGCACGCACCATTAGGCAAATCTCTTATGTAACAGAGCATTACTCATACAGCAAACCCAGATCACATGTGAGCCTATCAGAGCTCACCGTGTCGGCCCGTCCTTTACCTGAGTCTAAGAAGCAGGGGTTTGGGATGACCTGGTTCTCGTCCTGGAGCAAAGCGTCCTCGTCGCCCCACTGGGTCCGGTGGTGTCGGGTTCGCCTGCGACCCCCGAAGCACAGCAGCATGGTCTACCTGGTGGCTTCACCGCCGCTCAGCACGCAACCATTAGAATCAGAAAACGTCCTGGTGCTTGAATCTGCGTGTCGGTCATCTTGTCACTCCTCTCCTCCAGGACTTCTTTTGTTTCTTTTCATTTATTGCTGCCAAAAACCTCCCTGCAGCTCAATTCTCAGCTCCAGCATGTTAGTCCTTTGTTGCTTTTGTCCAGCACGGCTACCCAAAAAAAAAAAAGAAAGAAAGAAATCTCTTTTGTCATTTGCATCACGCTGTGGTTGTGATGCTCCTTCCATGCGGACCTGATAATGCGGTTACCAGGAGTAAGCCTGAGCGGCTGCTGGACGGCCTGAGGAATTGGCCCGCAGAGGCCATGTGTTGTGGTTCACTTAAGAGTCGCTTCCTCCTGGTGATTCGTAATGCAGGTGTTGGTTAGCAGGGTCCTACATAAGAAACCCTGATAGGATTAAAGTTAATCCACTATCCTGTTGTCTTTGTTGTGGTCTGGTCCAGAGGAAACCTGCGCTGTGTTCAATCCTGGGATTTCAAAGCGCTGACCAGGTAACAGAGCGTCTCTTGTGCGCCCCACAGCTATACGTCTCTTGTAACCGTATCTTGATGGCGGTTGGGAGGGAAAAAAAAAACTGGATTAGCATGTTTTCAGGTTCCTCTCCGCCTCCGTGTTTTACGTGCGCACACATCTGCCCGATTGTGAGCCGACGTCCTGCTGTGCGTTTATCTCAATCTGTGTGCGTCACTGCCACAAACACGTGTGTGCTGTTGTCGTCTCGCCAGCGTGCCTCTGACCTGAAGGCTTCCTGCACTTTGTCTGAAGTTTTTCTTTCTTGCACAAACTGTATCATCATATTTGTTGGATAAGGAATCTCTGAGTGAATCAAAAAGAAAAAAAAATGCTCCTTTTGACGGTGTTCTCATGCACCACACACACAGTTTATCTACAATCTGTTTAATTCAGAGCAGATATCAGGTATCACAGTATAGCTTTATTGGACAAACTCATTATAACCCCTAATTAGATTGTATTTTCACTTCTCAATTAAATTTATCCAGAGCTTACGCCAGTCAACACTGCTTGCATTCTCAGAAGATAATGATGAGGCACAATATACTGCACTTCCTGAGGGGGGCAGTCACGCCACTGAGGAACTGATTACAGGACTGCACTAATGCCACATTTTCTGATGCAAAAAGTTTGGGATAACTTTTGAAATCCAGCGGTGCGTCTGTGCTGCAGTCAGCCCGGGGTTAGCGAGAGGCGACACCGGGGCTGGTTTCCACAGCAACATCAATTACCTGCAGGGCTTTAAACAATTTCAGGGGTTGTGACAATTTCTGAATACCTATTAGGGAGGAACCACAGGACAAGTACATCTGAACAGCAAAAAAAAAAAAAAAAGACAGACCGACAGCACGGGCGTGTTTATATAAGGACCCCGACATTATGTGCGACAAACGCTGGTGTTGTCTAGCAGATTGCATGATGCATCCAAACCACACGAGTAAAGCTCAGTGACTCCCCGTCAGCATTACAACATGAGTCAGTGCGAGGAAGACAGCCGCGCACATATGTACGCTCTTTCATGAAGATGGCTGGCTTCCTCTGGCAAACCGGGTGGCAGGAGCAGTGAATGGAGGTGGCTCCCCGGCTCGGGATGATCAGCAGGAGCGTAGTCCAACGCTGCCTCCTTTTGTTGTCGATAAGGTGCCGCTGATCTCATTCACAACAGCTCGCAAACGAACCCGAGCGTTCTCCAGGACAAACGCGAAACCTCTGCTGCTTCCTGAGAGCACAAACACACATTTCTCATCTTGCATTTTTTTTCAGAGGCGCTAGGTGAGAGCTCTGGATGACAAATCGGTGTCAAAGCTCGCCGCGGTGACTCACGAAGGTTTAATGAGGACAAAAACGCTCTCGACTTGTTCATAGGTATTGATGTCACGCTTCAAATATAGCCCGGTGTGAACACGTGACTGCAAAACACAGAGAGGAAACTAGATAAAAAAAAAATGTTCACAGCCATCAGAAACATTGATTGAAGAGACGTCTGACTTCATCGGAGTCAGCAACTGTCATCACAGACCCGGCGGACGAGATATGAATTGCTAATTGAGCCTATATGAGATTCTGCCTGAGGCTTTAATCATCACAGATTAGTCCCGATGCCATCTTTTGGATTTTAGCTGGTTGCTGGCACAAAACTCTTGCAGGTTTAGCAGTAGTTCTTTGACAAAGAAAGGAAAAAGGTTAAATTAAGTTCAGGAAAATACAGGGAAGAATAAATAAAAATGCTCAAAGCGTTCCTAAAAATACAGACATTGATCTCAACCTACATCAATAACATGCATACAAGCTTTAAAATACTGAGTTCTTTACCACAACTGGACCTCCCTGTGTTTCTGCACTTAAATATGCTGAATTGAAGCATTAGTATATCAGCTGCAAGTCGCTTAGTTCTGAATAAAGAGACAGAGAACGTGATGAGAGCGGGTTGATGCAGTTTCCAAGGAAACCGCTCATTAAAGCATCTGAAGAAAGTTTTAACCAAATGCAACAAGATGAGCAAAATTAGACTGGTTTATGATGCATGGGAGTGCAATTCAGGATCGTCTTCATTGTTGATTAATCTGTTGACTATTTGCTTGAGTAATCAATTACTTGTTCGGTATAGATAAAATGTGGAGGGAAAAAAAGGATGAAAAATCTGCTGATCAGTGGTTCTTAAAGCCCAAAATGGCAGTTTACCATGACAGAGGAATAAAGAATAAAGAAATTAGAAATATCAGAGGGTTTTTAAAGGTTTTTCCTTAAAAAAAAAACAGTAAAATTGAATAAATGATGACCAAATACTGGGCATTTAATTCAATAGTTGCTGTAATGACGCCACGAATGTCTTTATTAGTAAATTTTTTTGCAGCACTAATATCATCAGAATGATTTT